CAGCAGCGTTTTCAATTTTCATATTATATAATAATCGCACGCAGGCAGTGTCGTACTGTTTCGTATCTGTCGTACTCAAAACGGGATCTTACGACTTGACCCTCTCACCCTGTTACGCTCCTTGAGAAACTTATAACCACGTCATCAGTAATGATGATAAAGACTAGATGTCTCTTACGTCACTGCAGGCAACAGTGCCACGGAGAGGGGGTAAGGGGGGTTAAAGTCAATCCGGAAACATCCTATATAATTCCTTTCGCTGCGTCTTTTCCTTATACTTCCTTTCGCTTCTATTTTTAAGGGGAGCGACGTGACCCCTAACCGAAGCAATCCCACTGGCTATGAATGCGAAACCTAGGCCTAAGCTAAAGAATGAAGCTCTACGGAATCTTCAGAGGCGCTCTAAGAAGGCCTGGATTAGGCCTTTTTTGAACCCTACTGAAGATTCAGCGAATTTAGGTTTCTAAACTCTCATGGTACATTTGAAGTAACATAACATACCCTGGTTGCTGTTGTGTTTGCAAAAGCTTCCATCCTCGACGTCGTGTTAACAAGGGCAAACGAGAAAACGGAAGGAACTCAACTACCCGACGTTGTGGGTTCGCACGGCAACGTGACCGGGGCGGACGATTCTTCCGCACTAAGTGTTTAGTCAGACATCCACCAGATGTCAGTCGCTCTGATGTCACTTGCAAGTGAGCTACTGTCGGAAAATTTCATTTGGCTATACGCTGTATCTTCACCCAAACACGTGACTGAGGTCATAAGTCAGGTATTTTATCACACTAATGGACACACACAACCGCAAGCAATACACAGACAGTTGTTGAGAGCTTAAGAAGCCTTCAAGGTCTGTCAACGGAAGGCAGGGTTGGACTGGCAAAAGTTGAAAGATATCTTTAGTTTAGTTAACAGCAAAAGTTTAATTGGAATAGCAAAACGGCGTCGATTGCGAAAAAGTCCATTTTGTGCAATGGTTTGCTAAGTGAGAATCCGTGCAGACCATGCTGCAAAGACAACATAGAACGAAACTCCACTCGCGGATGGCTACATCCGAGCATCGATGAAATAATGGAGACAGGTAGTGTGCTCGGGAGAAGAGGTTCGGATGAGGCCTAGCTCAAGTGCTGCCACCGTTCAGTGAGTCAAACGCATCCCACAGACCAAAGAATCCGTGTCGAGCTGCTGCGGAATGGGTCGCCGAGCAACTTCGAGAACGAGGTCGCGCGGAGGCCAGTCCGCGGCCATCTCATCCACACTGAACTGTTCGACGAGTGCTTATGGGGTGACTTGCATCTCCTCTCGAGGAATAATTTACCTGGACCGCCCAGATTCTGACCTCGGACTCGGCAGCATCGTCACAACTTCGATCATGACGAAGCTAGGGTGTTTTTTGAAAACTTGAATCTTGTTTCTGTCTGAATAGAGGTGGTGGCAGAATTTGCGAATGGAGAAAAGGGGGAAAGCGTTTACTCGCAGGTAGTTGCACCTCTGAGCACGGTGGAACGATTGTGATGACTTGGCAAGGAATGAGGACGATGGGACGAAAAATTAGTACCTGAAACTTTGCAGGAATCACATACGTGCATGACGTATCTGCGGTCTCAGCAATTCACCTCACCTTTCGACGCGATTCTCCAGAACAAAGCCTGAATGCGGCGACACTCGAGCTTCCGGGACGCCATTGGTCCCCCGAGACCTTTCACCAACCGAATTCATTCCTAGGACGAGCAAGGCTTGAGGAAGCGCTGCGACGCTTGCAGACCCGAATGACCTCGAAAGCAAGCAGAAGCTGGAGTGGAACCCATTGGCCGAAATGGGGCGACCTCATTGTCAGCATTTCACGAGAGATCCACGGGTATACCAGTAAGAGTAAATTGGTAATACCATCTTCTCTTGTTCAGGGGCCTGTTCCTCGCCTCTGCTAAACCTAATCTAAGTCTAAATCTAAATCTAAACTTAATATTTTCTGAAAGCAGCCTAAAAGCAAAAGATTTAGACTTAGACTAAGATTTAGATATAGATTTAGACTAAGATTAAGTTTAGCAGAGGCGAGGAACAGACTCATGATTTGGCACCGAAGGATTTTGAACCTCGTTGAAATTCGGTTTGAGCTGAATTCAGAAAAATGTAGAGTTACGCTTCATTTAAACTTAGTGTGAGGCGCCCAGGATTAAAATAAGTTTACAGGAAAGGCTGGTTTTCTTCAACCGAGGCCAACCGGAAGAACTAGTTACTCTGCTGACCTCTTAATCTTTTTCATTCCTTCTTTATCGGCTCGGCGAAAATAGGGTTAATAATAATATATATATATTTTTAAATCTGAGCATTTACTATTGCATTATCCAATGTCAGTCGAAGGGTAAAAAGCGAAAAAAATATAAAAATAACTGTAAAATTTGGCGCGAAACAGAAAAAGACAACTGAAAGCAATAAATCGAGATGAAGGGAAAACTTTCCCAAGGTCGATTCGTGCCTTCCACCGTTTTCCTCTTGCAAACCCACTGCTAAAAAAAATTCAAGGGTCAGTGGTTCCCCATACTTAGGCAAAATAATCGCAAACCACGTTAAGATACGATACGTTAATAAGATTGGCACGAAATTTGAGATAGTCTTGTTGCTGCATAATTTACTTTTCTCAAAATTCATGCCAGACGTTCTACAATGTGAACCACGACCACGGATATGCATCGCCTTCACCCACCCTCTGCTTTCCCGGCAACGGCATGAGCATGGAATGCGATCATCGGGGACAGCGACGATGTGGGATGCTTCCGAAAAACGGATCGGGTTGTCGCGTGGGGTTCTAGCCGTTCTGTGGTAAGGTCTCCGATGGTGAGTGGTGGTTGATTCCGGCAGGGCATCACCGGCGTGGCAGTGGCAGTGGCATTCCAAGCCTGGTCCAGTTTCCCTTTCCATGAGGCCCACTGCTACTAATATGGAGCAAATCTGCGAATTCTGCGGCAACTTTGGATCCTAACTATTTGTTCCCTTGTTTCACTGGAGCTGACGGCGTCTGTGTGCACAGGGCCATGTTGTATTTTACCTTCGACGTAACTTGAGGAAAAGACGAATCGGATGACTCGAAGCACTGAAGTCTCCGAGATTCCCCATGACAAGTAAAGGGCGTCTTTTGTCTTTTTTCTCGTTTTTTTTTTTCCGGCGATGGAAAGTGGGGGCCTCGAGGCGTGTTGAAAAGGGGAAGAACTCCTAACGTATGCCGAAAAATTATCCTGGTGATATTTTATTTCAAGACAGTGAAATTATCATACTCTCGATTTCCAATGTTGAAACATAATTTGCCAACCCTCCTCTATTACAATTTATGGTTGTTCGTGGCACTCCAAACATTTTGGAATCCCACGCAATCCCTTCCTGCCAGACTTTGTGGCGTTAATTGCCGTATCTTGATCTTCCTGCAAATACTTATTGCTCGTCCCAACCTTGCTGATTGTTATTGGCTATTTCCTTCGTCCTTTGGCTCTTGTTGCGTTTTTGGTTTTACCTTAGGGGTTTCCCATTTCTTTGTAAATGGCAATATCCCAACTTATAACAGGTAACCATGAATTGGAAGTCGAATGCGACCTGCATAAGCACGACAGAAAACAGCGATGAGAGTGCGAAATTAAAAACCGTGCCGTCGGGAGAATGCAGGAAATTTCCCAGCGAGAAGTTACGAAATTCGCCGATGATTCATTTTCCGATCGGGCACTTCCGCAACGTCTGCACCGCTGATACTTGAGGAGTTGTGCGTGTCGATCGCCTCTTACTCGGTCCTAAAATTATCAAAGGACTGAATGGAGGTGCAATCTACATTGCCATATGCCCTAAAATATATTTATGGATAATGTTCGCTTCCGTTGTCCACACGTCGTCATTTACCAAGTTGAGATGAAAGAGCTGTGATCGCAGTGATGTCACTGTACATATGGCACGATCCATTAAACTAGATAGGGTACTGATTGAGGTTCTTACAGGAAAATGATACAGCGGAAAAGTGACATGTTACGGAATTACCCTCCAGTTTCACGAGTGTTGAGGAATTCCCAGATTTGTCTTACATATATTAGTAGTGGAAATGCCAATATCATTGACTTTTCCATGTTTCACTTCGCAAAAATGTAGGATTTCTTTTTTTAATGTGGCACACTCCAGGTTGACCAAGGCAAGAAGGCCTCCAAGGGGCTCTCACCTCAGAAAAAGTGTGGGGACAGTAGAGTTGGGATCAGGTGACCTTGCAGGCCAATTCATGCATAAGTGATACATTTAATTTCTAAGACTTCATTCATGAATCTGATGGGTGAGCATTGTCGTTTTGAAGAAGTTGGGACCAATACAGTGCTTTTAAGATGAGATAACACTCTCTCAGTTCACGTCAAACTTACGATAGGAGGAAACGTTAATTCCACTCGTGTCGGTTAGCACAAAATAACCAATGGTTTGGATTAAAAGGGTGCGTGAATTCATCGTAGCCCTAGCTTATGGTTGAATGACTGGTCACAATATCTCATCCTTTTACCCCTTAACACCATTCGTGAACGTGTGGAGATCTGTGCAGTTAATGTTGTTCGATACCTGCCTTTATTATCATCCCCACCATTACCATAGGGCATCCCTTTCAAAAGAAGTCGGCCAATGACTTCCTGTCTCTCTAGCACAAATACGCCAAGAATCTTAAAGTTGAAACAAGAACAAGTTGTCTACAAACTGAACAGACCTCCACTATCCCACTATATGCTCATGCAAATTAAACTATTCCTACAACTCGACATTACCTTCATTTGCAAGACCATTTTGTTGGTGCATTGGAAACATAGGTGATCATATAAATAGAAATAATGTATAGTGTGACTTTCGTGAATCTTGGCATGAAATAACTCCAGAAATTTTCCACTTGAAAACTTAATCCATGTGCTGTCTACAAAGGGCTATCTCAATTAACCATCAACAAATCTAGGCCTAGGATTGATTTTTTTTAAGGCAATCACAGCATCACTGAGTCACAGTCAGAAAAAGCCACCTTTAATATTCACAGCCAAAAGACATGTCAAAGCTTTAAAAAAATAAGCAAAAAACCCATTATGCAATGATCATGCCATGAATAAAAAAATCAATAAAAACATCATGGCATTCCAAAACAAAAGACAAAACACGATGCTGAAAGTTCTGAGATCTCTACCATTAAGCAAGCATGAGATTGCAAATGTTTGTGTGTTTCCTTCTTTGGCTATCTGCACCTCTGGAAAAGTTGAAAGAGATTCTTGACTAATGGCTCCACAGTCAAAACCAAAATGACCAAAGTGAGCCCTTAAAACTAAAATATATGTTGCATAACAGGAATACCACAAGACTTTCACTGACACTCAAGGAAAAGAAACTGAATATCTCAGATGGAAAATGCAGTTAGAAGGTTGGCAAATGATAGCTCAAATGGTAACTCTCAAGGGACAGCCATGGATAGGATAAGGAATTAAAGCAGGCTGATTATTTCTGCAATGAATATTTATGGATTCTCAAACAAGAAGAGGAAGGCTTTCATAAGGAAATGGGCCTGCACCATTGCCCAATCATACCGGATGTTCATGGGTGATGTAAAACTCAGCATCAAAATTGGCAATGAGGGAGGAAAGTTTACAGATCATCCTAAAAGTCAAATGAATCTTCCCTTTGTTTCCAAGTTTCTCTGTGGAGGTGCATGTTTAAAAAAGAAACAAGCACTTTCAAAATTAGCCTCTAAAAATTATGCAGCTTTGGGCAATTTTTTTTACTACCATTAAAAAAATTAATTGAAAAAAAAAATTCATATTAACCTGGAATAGCACAATAACACCCTACAACAAAGCAAATGAAGTACTGAAGCAATATAAATGACATAGAGATCATATGCATAAGCCTACAAAATTCTCAAGCCTACAAAACAGGGATACAAGAGGAACCTCAAAATAAACCTTCATTGGACAATAGTGGACTCCATTGCTTAGCTTAGATACAGAGACCTGAAGAACAGAGTTTTTTTTCCATGCCTTATTGTCTTAGAGCAGCAGCATGAGAATTACACAACAAAGCACCATGAGCTATCCTGTTGCAGGGCAAAGATATTCCAATTTTCACTCATACCACCAATATGATGGTAAGAAAGCTTCAAACATACAGGTATAAGATTCATTAAATGTGAGATGCTGAAAATCTGAAAGAGAATTTAAAGAAATCACAGGTTTTGAACACCATATGTTCCACCGCCCCTGTTCTGTTCCTTTTGGAGCTCTTCAGAGTCTTCTGGACTAAAAGACAAAATTTGGAAGTCAATGACTAACTTCTAGTCTGATCTACCAAGAGGATATCTTTGAGGCATTTCTAATGAGATTTAAACAATATCAAACTCACCGAACAGGGGGAGGAAGCACAGGCTGCTCTGCAGTTGAAGCATGCTTCTGCTCAAGCAGAGCCAGGGCTTCTTCGTATGTGGGGGGAGGAGCAGAGGTGTCGATGACAGTCAGACCTCCATGGACACCCATGGGGACAACAGAAATATCTACCACACATTCATATGAAGGAGGCAGAGTGAGGCAACTTGGATCTCGAGCTATATGGAGCTGCTGCTGAGTCTGATGGAGCTGGAATTCCTAAAATAATAAGGTATGGTGGGGTCAGTGCAATTACTTGGAACTTGCAATTGGAAAGTGGAACTGCCAAAATATTAAAGTCAGCTTCCCATGTACTATGATGAGTCTCACTTAGCATGTTTTTCCATGTAAGGCATTAGGCATCAGGAAAGAAATGAACTTATTCCTGGTGAAAAAATGAAACATGCCTCTTAATCATAATTAACAGGTCTTTGGATGATAGGACAAGCAACTCAGGTTGCAAAATCAGCCATCATGATAAAGCCTTTTAACCCTGTAACTACCATTCTGCATTGAATGGATCCTGATACAAAAATTTAGCAATTTGAATTTACTGCATCTTGAACATGAAAATTCTGATACTCTGTATTTTCATGAAGACATAGGATGAAGTTTACAGTGATCAAGTAATTTGTTACAGATGTTCTACTGGGAGTGTAAGTCGAAATACCCTCTCTCACTCTCATGTTTATACCTACAGCTGCAGACAGATATACACATATTCACAAGAATAACACATCTTTTCAAGAACCAATGTGATGAGTTGCTTACCCTAGTCAACACTCTCTGAGTAAGAAGTAGCTGGAGAAGTTTTTTCCGCCTCAGGTAAATGATAGTCTTGATGAGGACCACAGCACCAGTGCTTATAAATACAGGTCCTGCAACCAACCATATGTGGCCGTTGGAGTAATAATCAGTGATGTCCTGATCCATGAAGCTGAACACAGTGACCACAATGCCCACGAGGAGAAGAACAAATGTCAAGAGGAAATAGGAGTAAGAGATGCAGTCACACTGGGCAAAAGCTGAAGACTCTTGACAGCAGAGGCAGTCATGCCGATTGTTACGTAACTGTTCCAGAAGCCTCATGATGGCCTCAGAGACAGCGGTGCGACCACCCTGAGTGTCCCCCGGACGAAGTGCTTCCCTTCCCTGTCTTGCATGCCTTGATTGAGGTCTGCTAGTACTCCCTTGAGGGGCAAGGCCAACTTGTGGTAAAACCATCTTGAACCAATCCTAGGTCTCCAAAATCTGGGGACTAGATTGGAGCTACAAATGCTCCTTCCCTGGTTTCACCTAATGCCTGAAAAATTGAAGAGAATGTTATGACTACAGAAGTGAAAAAGTAGGCATAAGTCTACACCTACAATAACACCAGGCCATAAATCATATTTTTTGGAATGGAAGGGTAAGATGCAGGAAGCTAAATGTTACCCATATGGGTCTAGTCTAATAGGTGAAAAGAGATCATGCTTGACAGATGAACAGAGCAGGCCAAGGCCCAACTGAGAAAAAGTGGGATGCTTGGGAAGTTATCCAGCAAAGAACAAAGAACCATGCAAGATCTTCTACCATGATATTCACATCTATTATCCACTTGCTTAATTTTTTATAGTTGTTGCAATGTAAGGCATTGACCAGAGAAGCTATACTGGGCAATATATGGAGTTAAGAAGCCTTGTTTTAAATATGTGAACAAGTCTTTCTGTAACCTACATGCCTTGATAGAATTGCCACATGTGATATGTCTGACAGCTTCACATTATCGTAACCTACAGTGAAATGCCTAATCTTGAAGGTTAAACCAGTGCCACTACACCAATGGAATCTCTGGAATGCAAAATTTTTATGCTAGGTCTTTACCAATTTATAGGGATTCACTCCAGCCAGTTTCTTGTTCTCAGCTACACTAGACAACTACACCTGGAGCATTGCCTGCCTGAGGTGAAACCTCTTATGAGAGCCTAGGGCCTCCTGCTCACTTCCAAGGCTCTTGTGTTTTCTTTCCTTTTCTTTCGAATTTACAGTCTGCCAACCAGGTCATGCCTCTGTGATACCCCCTCCCCTCTTCCATGTCATACATCGACATGGTGCTTGGGCTCAAGGCTTCACTATTACACAATTGCGTCAGAGAGCGCGTAATTGTGTCCTTCGAATTTCCCGCTCAGCGGACAGAAGACTCGAATCTGCGTTTCAACTGCAGTTATTGAGATATTTCTCTGGCAGCGGGAACCCGGATACGCATATCCCGATGCTTTCGTGCAAAGCAATACAGATTAAGATATATCTAGGCTACCCTAAAATACGAAGACATGTCAAGGCATGTATGTCCCAGATCTATTCACCATTAAACAACACAAAGCAATAAAGTAGCAAGGCAGACGAACAGACAGGTTGGGGAGAGATAGTTGTCCCAGAGTATACGAGATAAGACAACCACTCGCCATACAGGCCAGAGACGGAATCTCCGTTATGTCCTTTGTCTCCCAAAGGCAGCTGCTCCCAGTGGCCTCGGAGCACACGCGAGAAGATACGGGCAGCTGCCATATACGATGCAGCTATAACGTCATCATCCCCCTGCCAATACCATTCCGCAGTTGGGTCTCTGGAAGAGACGCCATGTGCTTCCATTTAAACCTGTCAGATGAATAATACCTACCTCTATGGTGCTTCCGATATTATTCACCCGTCTGTACAATCCAACTTTGTTGTCATTTGTATTCAACACATTTTCGAATGACTCCATCACCCTCGGATAGCCTTTCACAGGCATCGGCGTTGGAAGCTATCTGAAAGGTGTGGAACTAAAATGAAAAAAAAACCTAAGAACCTGCAAAACTCACCGAGTGCTCCCATCTTCGACGTGAGCGTTACATCTCTTTCTGTCACCTGTGCAAGAGCCATCTACTACCGTTAGCCTCGTTATTGTGGACTAATTTCTTATGTGGAGCTTCTGACAGGCAGAATCCGTTAGCCTAAGGCAATTAAGGTAATAGCCGAACTTGGAAAATTCCTGGAATGTATAATTTAGCTGTTACATTCACCGTTTCAGTTGGGCACACTTGACTGTGATGGCACAAGAGAAAGTGCTTGCCAAGTCATCTTATTTTATGAATTCATGCCCTGAATCTCGAGAAAGTCTTGAGTCACAGGCAAAAGCTAATTTTCTGGGCTCAACACCAGAGGAAGCAAGTAGGGCCTCTGTTATGGGACTTGGAGCGATCTGTAGGCATGCCAACAAACTTTTAGGTGACTTTTATAACCAAGCCTGCATGGACTTGGCCAAGGCATTGTTGGGAAAGGTACTGGTCCGCAAACTAGGGGATCAGGTTTTGAAAGGGAAAATTGTGGAGACCGAGTGTTACCTTGGGGGAGATGATAAAGCTTCACACTCCTACAATGGCAAAAGAACTGAGAGAAATGCACCCATGTTCATGAAACCTGGCACATCATATGTCTACCGCATATATGGCATGTACAATTGCTTCAACATTTCCAGTACTGGTAAGTAATTTATATCCATACCAAAATGGACATACTTCTAACTAGATAAAAACTTGATTCAATGATATTGCCTGGTCACTTCTTTGATTGCCCTTTATAATGGTATGGAATGAAATTCAATATAAATTAATTTCAAAGTATGTCTTCTTTTCCCTCAAGTGACATGCAAGTGTAGTAAGAGTGTTGAGAGACTGAGACAGGACCAGGACTTCATTCAATGTGCATTAAACAGATTTAAGTCATTCTCCCCCCTCCCCAATAAAAGCAACTCTCAATTACTCTAATTTAAAAAATTATGTGGAGGAATCCAGTTAAACTGATGTTTTTGAAACCAAAATGTTGAGGAACCTTAAGACTTCTTAAAAAAGAAACATTGGCTTTCATTTTAGTGGTCTTTCAAATGCATTGTAAAATGATTTTTTTCTTCAGAGAATAGAGGCTTTCATGAACAGTCAGGACTAGATGAGTTTTACTTGATAGGTGATGGTGCAGCTGTCTTGATTCGATCCCTGGAACCCCTGGAGGGCCAGGAAACCATGCAGCAGTTGCGTGAAAAGAAGAGGAAGCCAGAATCCATCAGAAAGAAGCTCAAAGACTTTGAACTCTGTAATGGTCCCTCAAAGTTATGCATTTCAATGAATCTTGAGAAAACTACTTGCAATGGGCAGGACTTGGCAAACTGGCCAGCTTTGTGGATTGAAGATAGTGAAAATGTGAGAGAGGATTGCATAGTGGCATGCAAGCGTATAGGAATTGACTCTTGTGGTCCTGAATGGGCTGATAAACCCCTGAGGTTCTATATTCTGGGGAATCGATCTGTTAGTGTAAGGAATAAAAGTGCAGAAGCTCTTCTTTGCTCAGGTAGATGAAGACATGTGTTCTTCCACTACATGCTGGTTTCATTCTTCAGGTGCCATATCCATATTTGACATCACTGCACCTGCCAAGCCCAGAGCTTGCTTGGTGTTATGTGAACAACTGCTGTAAGTGAAAAATGTGGTGGGAGATGCTTGATTTTGGACTCCTTTTCAAAAACATATATTCAATGTACTTTATATCAGTGATATTGAGCATCCTGGCCATTGCTCTGACTCTAGTCTTATATAAAAGCAAGGATGACCACAAAAGCCATCCATCGTCCAATTTGACTGTGAGAATGTGTATATATCTTCGTGCTTAGCTCTTCACCTTCAAGACATAGGGAATGCATGATATTCATTTTTTTTCTTGTTAGGGAGCAGATGCTGGTGACATTTTATCAGACAGTCCTTCAGCAGATTCTTCACCATTGGTCGAGGGCCTGAGGAGTCAGAAGGTCAGAAGCACCTACAAAACCATTGCAGCTAGTCTGACAGCTGATGAAGCTGAAGAAGAGAGACGGTAAAACCCTTCTCATGGTTCGGTTTTTACCAACATTGCAACTAGCTAAGTGACTTTGTATTTCTGTCCAGGGCTGAATCAACACAACTGAACCATATCTTTGGACTTCTCAAGAAGGAGGAAAAGAAGTTTGGGATACAGTCTCTTGAAGACCTGAAGCACCAACTGCACTTGTACAAGGCATAACCTCAGGTTTAAATGTGACCAAATTTGTATTTATTCAAATGCAAATATAAGATTTATACAGAAAGTTTGACACCAATAGACTGTGTTATTCACTTGTTAAGTAGTAAATAACACTACTGACTACTGGGAAGCGTCTGTTGGCCGTAGAGTTTCAAGGTAATGTTGCTCAGAAAGGCTGGGATGGAATGCTGAGCAACCAGGAAGTGTTCTATGTCCTCAGACATGGCTTTGGAAAATTCTGTCTCCAACAGCTCCAGGGTACCTGAGGATCCAATCTGTAATTCCAGTCTTGTTAACTCAAGAGATATTTGCTGTGAGACACAAAAACATGGTTTTACCCTTTGCATGAGATCCCACCTGAAAGTGGAGATAGTCATTGGGTGAGTCTGCATACACACTGAGGACCTTGTAGTGTCGTCCACTCATCTTCTCAACTTGATAGCCCATCAGGGCATGAATTGTCTGCCGAAACTCGATGCTGGTCTGCTTGAATGCTTCCATCATCCTTGTAGTCTTCATTTCCGAGTTCTTCAGCTGTACCTTTAATCCTTCAAAAAAAAATTCTCTTTTAATGCATTTCACACGAAAATCAGACACTAGTGAATATAGCAGTCTCAAAAAGACTTACAGATGTTCCATGCAGGCAAGAGACCCATGAGAAAGGATGTTGAAAGAGAAAAGGAGAGACAGAGGGTGAAAGGTTTAGAATGATAAGAGAGAAGAAAAGACGTACTTTCGAGTTCCTTGGTCGTGTTCACATCAACAGATGCAGCTGCCCGTTGTGTCAGTTCCAATGCTTCTCCTTCTTCCATCAGACGTATTCGTTCCTTCAGCCTAGCATTATCCACTTCCAGAGATTCCAACTGTTTTTCCCGCTCTTCCTGAGCTTGTGCCAAGGGGTTCATGCTGCAGAGGGATACTGTTTTCAAGCCTTTATCTCCATTACAGAAGAGTGAACAAAGAGATATGAATTAAATACCTATAGCGGAACACTTTGGTTTGAGCTGGATTGTAGTCGCCCCTGACTCGATGCTCAAGGAGCTCCTCAAGACGCTTACGATCTTGACTTAGGTGTTCCTTTTCTGTCTCCAGTTGTTGGAGTTTTTCTTGGAGCTTCTGAATCTTCTCCAGCTCCTCATTGGATGACCTCTGCATTGACTGTATGACAATTCATGATTTTCTCAAACATCCATAACACCTTGCAGTTTTACATTGATATGCTTGCCTGATTAGGTGGGACTAGGCTGTCATTAAACTGGCGATACTCTTGGAGAAGCTCCTCTAGCTGAGCCACACGTTCATCAGTCAAATTTATTGTTGTATCCTTCTCACAGGAGTCCAGGATTTGTTTGTATGACTGAACTTCCTGCAAAGCATACCAATCCACAATAAATTATGTAAAACAGATTTAAATCTTTCCACTTGAATTTCACTTTAATGCAACTGATACCTTGGAGAGGAGCATGAGTTTACGACTGTACTTCTTGAGAATGGCATCCTTGTCAATGATCATCTTCTCAACACTACACAGTCGTTCCTCAAGACTCTTTGCCTTCCCACTGGCTTCTGAGCTCCTCCTCTGCTCCATTGCAAGGCTAAGGAAAGGAAATTATAAAAATAAATAACAGCAAAATCTGAAATGCAGGATGACCATCAGAACCAGTTGAATTTCCATGCTTCAAAAATCAGTCATGCCTCCAAAGGAAGACATCTCATGATTTACAAATCACAAGGACATTAAGAAAATTATTGCCAAACCAGCCTGCTAGGACAAAAATACTGTGTCTATAGCAAGATACTCTTTGAGATAGATGATATCTAGGGGGAAGAAAATGAGGGATGTATAGCTAGAAGCATGCAGTACAGGAGAAGGATTTCATTTCTGGAAAATAAACATTCTTTCCAGCTCAAGATGCACCCTTCTATGAAGTTTTATAAAAGGGATGGTAAAGCACAGCTTGCGGGTATGTGGACCAATGACCCTGCACTGAGATGCCACTGATTGCAACCCAAGAAAGCTTAATAAGAGAACAAGTAAAGGGAAAAAAAAGAGGACTATACTCAGAGTTGTAGCTCCTAACAGTCCCTAGACTGCAAGAGCTGACTTCCCCCATTATCACAATCACTTGATACACAACCACTTGATATTGGGACAGATTAGGTCAGAAGGTGCTACATGACAGGTTGAGATGATGAAAGATTAAATAGGGACTACAAGAACTGAAAGGATCTGCCCCTTCAGAAAGGAGGGCCAAGAAGAAAACACATTCCCAGTTCAAGTGCTGAATGAAAGCAAGTGGTTTGATTTGAGTTTTGAAAGACCAGCAAGGATCCAAGCATGAAATAAATGGGTGAAGAAATCTGACCAGACTTAGTGTTCACCTTCTACTGGGTTTTTCTGAAAGTTTCTGACCCACTAAAATAAAGATGAGACTAACAAGAATATATTGGCTTATTTGCATTCCATATAGCCAGGAACACCCAAGGTACCAATTCCTGTTTCAATATTAGGTATGACATTCTGCCGGTCTCCAGGAACCCCAGATCTGCATCCCTAAGCTCTCAACAAATCTACAGATGACATTCATTGTGTTGGTTCTCATTACACTTAAAGCCCTGATGAAGACTAATGCCCAATTTAAATGGCATGCTGAACACTCTGCAGGAACCTGTGCCACAGGTGTTAGGGGTATTGAGATCTAGACAGTTACTTGGTCAACATTTTCTAGATCTGAACCAGTCTCTTTGATGGTATAGAACCTAAAGCCAGCTGTGTGGCATGGGCTCCATCCTGCATCAAGCACAGCCTTTTCTTGGCCAGGGCTGGTTGCTTGAACCTTCATGTAGCCCATGGAGACAGGCAGGGTCAGGCAGAGTATTTACTCGCATTTTGTGCGAGTTGGTCAGAAACTTTTGGGACACCCTGTAGAATACTTGAGACATGAACACTTACTCAGCTTTAATGGAGCTGATCTGCTCAGTATTTTGCAAATCCTTGCATTGAAGATTAGCCACATAGTTAGCCAAGTCTTCTGGAGAAGGATCAGGCAACCCCATCTGAAGAGACACCTTCTTCCATGAAGACAGCTCTCCATCCAGACTGGAAACTTGAGCATGGATTTCAGCCATTTCAGCCATACGCTCCTTGAGTCGCTCCACTTCTGCCTGAAGATGTGTATTCTGCTCCTTTAGCAAGAAGGTGTTTGCTATCTTCTCCCTATGAAAACAAAAAAGAGGGAATGTCAGGACTGGGTCTTATAAAGTACATCTCAAAGTATTATTTGAAATTTATATTCTTTTTTATTTGGGAAATAAATCATAAGAAAGGAATGAACAGAAGACATAATATGGACCGGAGAGCCAGGTTGTCCTTTTGAACCTCAAGGAGCTCAGCCTCGAGGCTAGGGAGTCGAAGAACTTTTTCCTGCATTGTCTTTGATAATACTATCCCTGTCTCCAGCTCTCCTACCTTCCCTTCCAGCTCCTGCAAAATTAAAATACATAAAATGAGGTGAGAGCCAAAATAGCACACTGAATTGTTGTTCACAATGAAAAACAACCTTCATGTTCATGTGAGCTTTCGACAAGGAGGCTTCCAGAGAAGAGACCTGTCGAATGAGCTGCATCTTTTCCTTCCCCATAGCATTGCATGCATCCATGGAATCTTTCAGTTGAGCATGGAGGGTCTTGTTCTCCTCCTCTTGCCTCTCCAGGGCCAGCTGAAGCTCATTCATCATTTCCTCTTGCCCTGACTCCAACTGAAGTTCAATGCAAAATTATGTAAATCTCTCATACTTTTAAATATGTAGTTGCATTCAATGCTTCAGAACTACCTGAGTGATTTTCTTCTCCAGTCTCTCAATCAACTGATCCTTTTCCAGAGATTTGAGTTCTATGATGTGCCTTTCACTTCGAAGCTGTCCAATGAGTTTGGAGGTGCTACGCTCCTTCTCAGCCAACTTCTCTGATAGACTTGACACCTTCTGTGTCAACTCCTCATTCTTAAGAGAGAAAGGCCTTTTAAGATAAATGCCAATCACATATCTCCAAAAGTTATGATGAAATCCCCAGAAAACCTTGGATTCAAGGCGTCCACATGACATCTTGAACTCTTCCATTGAATTCTCTAGATCTGAGTCCAATAGCTTGTTCTTGTTACAGAGTTTCTCCAACTAGTGAACGTTTGGGTCATAGAGAGCTAACCGACTATTGTTAAGGTGGAGGAACGCGGAGTCGAAAACTAAGTTCAGATGTTGTCTGTACCCGTATCACTTCAGATCGTCTAAGGGTCTATAGGTGTTTGGTGGGTTGGCATGGTCACTATTGCCCCCCCAATCTCAATGCATGTGACTATTTCCTATGGGGATACCTAAAGGACAAAGTCTTCAAGTCAAATCCATGCACTTTGGGAGACCAGAAGGCGGCCACAGAACATGAAGTCTACTCCATTTTCCGGGATAATTTGCAGACTGTAGTGCAGAATTACGCCACACGTCAAAGACGTGATAGCGCACAGGGGATGGCATATTGAATGTGTTCTTTCAAGGAGAATCATTTTCCCATGTTTATGGATTCTTGATGCAAAATTTCATGCATCTAACTTCATTTGTTCAAATATTATAAATATCTATAATGGTCTGATGAATAAAAAATCACCCTGTATAAACATATGCCACATACAAAAACACAAAGGTAAACATTGTCCTTGACATTTTTCTCAACAAACTTGATGTCAGGTCGCCTCTTTTTTCCTCAATTCTGGGGTCCAGGCCCATAGCTACATTCACAGGGTTCACACTAGCTTTTTTTAAATCTTAAGTCCTGGTGCCTAGCTTCAACTCAGCATGAACATGTTCAGGTGGTTTTCAATGAGTCCCACAGACTTAGATGTTTTGCAAATGAGTCCCTCTAAGAAAATATGAGTCAGGGACTCACTATAGTGAGTTAACATGAACCCTGATTCATATTGCCTTGCTCTGTCCTGGCCTAGGCCAGGACAGAGCTCTCCACCTATTGAATTCAGAGATGGGTGAGCACAGAACCAGTGGCACACCCATGAAGGACTCAGAAGACTCAGAGTTTCACTTTCAGCTAAAATCTTTGATATAAATGTCTTTTGCACAATGGACAGAGCTTTAACTTTCTTAATGTACAACTTTCTCATCTCTAACAGAACATGAAATAGGATATTTTGACTCAGTATCAAACCTCAGGAGGACAGTTGAAACTTTTCTTTTTACCACAGCCAGGAGCTTCCTGTCATTTATCACATATACAGGCTTAAATCACAACCTACATATAGCCTAGTTGTATTTATAACTGGTGACTGAGGGTGTTTCTGCTCCACTTTACAAACCTGGCTTGGTGTAAGATAGAACCAGATGGGCTGCAGGTCCACTCAGGCTTTTCCCATTGCAAGAATAATGCTTTTATTAATTATTGAGAACCATTAGGTAAATACCAAATGGAACCTAAGCATCATTATTTCTAGTCATGCTGAATGCCCTCTACCTACTACTAAACAAGCCATTGGATTCCACTCATGAGGTTATCTAGATAAATCCCACACGTGGTACATCTTTTAATTTCTTTATGCATTACTCCTTTTCCACTTAACTATGCACTCAATTTCAATGTTTTTTCGAAAATTGCAATAAAACGTCTCCATATCTTCCTGTCATTTTTTCAGTTTTTTTTAATTCTACAGTTAAAATTTAACTTATTCTTGTGGAAAAGTTCCTGGAATATATTTTTTTTGCTTGAATCTTTTACCTTCAACATCCATGTCCATGTGATCCCAGATCAGTGGTTGGTTGCCACTGACCAAATTCCCACCAAGGATGAGGGAGAAAAAAGAAATTATATATGAAGAAGAGGATGAACAAGAAGATTGATACATCACAAGAAAGGTCGCAACATCAATGCAACAAGACATTACTGAATAGAGACAACTGATTCACTTTCATTATTTGTGTTTGTATGGGGAACAGTGGATAGTTAAGTGAAACAGGAGTAACACATTGAGACCTGTAAGCTGTCCAAGCATGGCTATTTGCATGAAAAACAAACTACAGAAAAACAAACTACAGTGTTTTTCTCTTGGGTTAGACAATTTTTCACTTGATTCAGACATACATGCATGGGACATTCCTCATGCATGAGTGTCAAAGTAAAGTGAACTAGAGTCTGCCTCAAATGAAAAACACTGCAAATGTGATTCACAACAGGTCTTGCCAAATATTATGCTAATTGTCATTATTCTGCAAGGTAACCTATCAAGTTACATCTCACAGAGATGTAACTTGACAGGTTAAAGACTTGTAGTTATACATTTAGATTGGAATGTAAATGAAATGCAGACAAGAAACAAGAGCTTTTCCAAATGCCCACACCTAAAAATGTTAAGGTCAACATGGCTGAGGCCAGTTGAACGAAACCTAGTGGTTCCCATGCTTACTTTTTTTCTTACACTGCACCCTCTAATGTCCAGTGGTTCACAACCTGTCATCTGGGAACCTCTGGGCCAACCAATAGTAGGGGATGGTTTGGTTTGCAAGGACTTATTAATAATCTCTTTTCTGCTTCCTTCAGTCAACCCCCTTGTTTGTTTTGCCTTTCTTGAAAGAATGAATCTATTTTTTTGGTAGCACAACATGACTTGAGTTTTTGGGGGGTTCACCCTTGCTGTCCTACTGTTTGAAGAGATTCTTGGGCCTATCACTTGCAAACCCAGTATCTCTCGATTGGCTGATAACAATTCCACCTCCTTGCGCCTCAGCTTTTGATTCAAGTCTACAACAGACATGGGCATAGTGAAGTCTAGCAGATTCCCAGATATCCACAACGGTGGGTTGGCATGGTCACTATTGCCCCCCCAATCTCAATGCATGTGGCTATTTCCTATGGGGATACCTAAAGTCAACCCCCTTGTTTGTTTTGCCTTTCTTGAAAGAATGAATCTATTTTTTTGGTAGCACAACATGACTTGAGTTTTTGGGGGGTTCACCCTTGCTGTCCTACTGTTTGAAGAGATTCTTGGGCCTGCAGGAAGATAGGGTGCTGAGCAAAGGAACAAGGGAGAGTTTTTCAAGCTTTCAGGAGGGACTTCGAACCCCTTGATATCCCTCTTGGTTGCACTGCTGTATTTGACATGTCCTTTGGTGGTCCTAACAAGTACACTGTTTCTGGATTGAATTTTTACCACCCCCTATGGTGGAGAATGGTGAAAACACACTTCCAGAGAATCTGCTTTATCAGGTGATAGACGTAACCACCCATGTGTAAGATGTTGCTATCTGCAAGCGATGAAAGTGCTCCTATAGGGGGTATGAATTCAATCTAGAGACAGTGTAGCATCAGTCTTCCCTATCTTCTGTACCTCATCTTTGTGTAGCCACTATTTTTTGTAAATGAATGAGTGGCATGTTTCAGTGATTTTCTAACAGTAAGTAGTAAGTAAAAAGGAAGTAAATATCTAAAATATGAATCCTAGGCTTCCTGTAAATTGATTAGTCTATAGAATGAAGGCAAGCAGAAGGAACAATCACCCCCCCCTTGCCATGGATATTCCCAAAAACAGAGACCCACCTGCAATCTCCAAGGCCTTGTGAGCATCTTCTTGGCGCTTGAGCAAAGAGCTAACAGGCACAGTCAACTCCATGCTAACATCCTGAATCCGAGTAAGGTCCATCAAGGTCATACTTGATATCTCCATTGTGTCTCCAACTGTAAGGCGTCTGGACTTTCTTGCACGGGGGAAATGACTTTCATCTACTGATCGCTTTGTGGCTTGAAACTTTTCAAATGGAGACACAATATCTGGGGGCCCAGAAGGGTCCCCAAGCTGGGCAGACATCTTGTTACCTTGCTGGACTGCAATCCTCCTATCACTTCAATATTCACATAGGTCATTTACATGTACAATGTACAAGATCAAAGGTAAAGTAAAAATATTGGCCTGACATTCTGAAACTCCTCCTAGGTCAGCAATCTGTGCTGATAATCTACTATGGTGCAGACCAGGATATTTTACACCTTGACCTCCATTCAGGGCTTATAATAGGGGCATGGGTAATTTAAAGACAGGGTTACTCAGGAAGTTTTTTCACAAACATGAAAGTTTATTTTGGTCAAGTAGCCCTATGTGTGCTTCCAAGAGCTCTCTACAACTCCATGATAGATAAAAAGAAACATATCTGTGAAATTTATCAGTTTAAAATTAACCTAGTAGGCAAAAGCTTTACATTTTGCACAAAATTCAACCTGAGGTCTTCAGTATACTCCAGAGCAGCATTTTTCTCAACTGATTTTGATAAATTATCAATTGCACTAGTTTAAGCAGTAAAAGCCTTGGTGATGTGTATACTTTTGGCATACTTCACTGCCAGGGGTAGTGATGGCTTAGTCCATGTGAACAAGTAGTCTTTTAGAATGCTTTTCACTCAAGTAAAACATTTTTCCACTTGACTAGGACAATCATGCATAAGGAACATCCCATGTGTGGGTAGTGTGAGACAAGTGAAAAATGGCTTGACTCAAGAGGAAAACACTGTAGCTGAGTGAAAGATCTAATTTAAATCAGTCTGATTTGTTTTGGGTCAAAAAGAAATGGCAACTCCATTTCCTGAATCACATTAGAATTGAGGCCTTACCAAACTCTCTTTTCTCCATTTTAGCATCCTCTCTTCCTTGATTCAGCCTTGAGACATGTCATGAAATATTGACATTAGTGCCATTGAGAATGACATAACTAAGGATAACAATTTTATTCATCAAAAATTGAGGAAATAAATTGACTTCCTCAAATTCCTCTAAAACAATTGAAAGCTGATTATATTAGACTTTAATAATTACATTTTACAAGAATTTCTCAAATTTTACTAATGAAAGGGATAACCCAAGGGTGGCTTCACTACCTCATGGCATTACAAATATGGGAACATCAAAAGATTCATGCAATATTTCTTCAGCCCCCTCCTGAGAGATGGGGACTTTGATATTGCCAGAGGAAGCATCTCCCAAGGTCATCATAATTTTGATTCAGTGGCAATGCAAAATTTTGAACTCTTAAAAAAAAAGCTCCTATAAATCATACTCCAACCAACTGCTTTAACATATGCCCCTTGTGGAGCCTGTTATGTATTTCAGCTAGTTCTTAATATTCATTTACTAGGTCAATATAAACCCTCAAGGGAAAAGATGTAATGAGCTTAAGATTTACTTGACATCTGGTGAAAACAGGGTACAGAGGTATAAAAAGTTATTGAGTATCCTGGTAACCATGACTCCTCTCAACTCAGCAAGCATAAGAAATAAGCCTGTGACAGGCCCTGGGGGAGGGGGGGGTCTTGTGGTCATGTACACCTACAACAGGGTTCATTTGGGGAGTTCAAATGGGGAAAGTCCCTAAGAAGCTCCTGGAATTTTCTAAATTTGAAGGAGTAAAACATGGTAATTAAAGATGTTTACTTTATTTTTTTTTCTGTCCATGAGCAGAAATTGCACATTGAATCAAGAATTCATTGGGATTATTATAATGTGAATAAAGTCAAATCTAAATTTCTGCTTATTCAGTCAACCCCTGAATCAAAATGAAGCTCCATAATTTTTTGAGTTATTGGCAAAATGTCAGGCATTGCACTGCTGGCAAGACTACCATGTCAATGTACAATGGTTCCTATATTCTTTTCAAACTGTCCAGTTTCTCATGAATACTTGAGATCAATGTTGTAATGGCCCATGATCCTGGCTGGCTGTGATCATCTCCCTGGCTTTACCTTATTTGCTTTGAACTTCTCCAAACGCATCCAAATTTCTTACCTCCTTCAAATTGCCTTCAAAAAAGTTACTTCAACTGAGCTGGGTCTTTGGGATTCAGAAGTGGATGTCTCAATCCTTGGTGCTGCCGAAGAAGGGGTGTTTTTTTTTTTACGGAAATGGAAGGTGTAGTATGGGAATTTCCTCAAATGACCTTGAAACTGTCTTACTGATTGCATTTGCGAAAAATTGCCCGAATGAGGGATGGGGCCTGCAAAGCCATGCAAGAAATGGCTCAGAGATAGCATTCTGCCGCTGGACTACAACTGCAAGTATCCCGAATAGAAAGGAAAAGTCGGACTCTCATTCCCTCCGCTCCCGAATAGAAAGGGAAAGTCGGACTCCCATTCCTTCCGCTCCCGAACAGAAAGGGAAAGTCAGATTCCCATTCCCTCCGATGCCGAATAAAAAGGGAAAGTCAGACTCCTACTCCCTCCGCTCCAAAACAGTTGCATTATTTTCCTTATTTTGCTCTCCCGGTCGCTGCCAATGAATTACCGTCCCGATACCTCTCGCTCCAAAAAAGTTTCACTCGTTTCCTTCTCTTCCCCTGAGGAAGGGCTCATGTGAGTCAGCCAACTGGACATATGGACGGCAAAGTGGGTTCGGCACAAGACCACGAGCGTGAGGGGTAAACTACACATTCGAGATCCGATTGGATGTAACAATCAGCAAGAAACCCCTCGTCCGTAATCTTCCACCACGCCAGTGTCAGCATCCCTCACCACTCCATATCCCATGTCAATTCGACCTCTTCTCTTTCTGTTCTCCCTTTTCAATTATTTCATTCTTTCCACCCCTCCTTCCATTTTTAAAAAAAATCCATCTCCCCATTACCAGGTTACAGATAATGTTCCACCCTTGCTAAAGATACAGCACGTTGTACCCGCTGCTTCCACCAAGAACATTTGCTTCAATAATCAGGTAGACCTTCGCTAACACATGACATGCGGGGCAAAATTAAGTATTGAGCTCTTTATGAGATTGTTTGACGATACACTTTACCATGCCATTATTGGTAAAATGCAAAAGCACTTCTTGCTTTTGTTTTGAATTTGAGTTGTAAGCTATTTTTGTGCCATGAAAATGATAACATTTAAAAACTACTCTCAGCCATTGTTCTGTTGTATTTCATTTTGATTGATGTTCATCAGTTCATCATGTTCATCAGTGACTGGAATGGAAAGTTTTATCTCCAAATATGCATTAAGTAGAGCAAAAGAAATGGAAAATATTAATATGTAATATAAATATATATATACACAAGAGTGTTACAAGAAGTAACGACAATTCCTGTCAAAACCGTCCGTGTGAGCCTATTTCCAAGGTCAGGAATGTCAGGTGTGTCCAGTTGCTGGCTGTTATTGCAGTCCTTTTGTTCCTGTTATTGGGAACTCATGACAAGTTAAGTATGGCAATTGGATTTCTCAGGGCACATTTCATTGCATCGCTTTCTGGTGAATAAATAAAAATTTGTTTAAATATTCAATCTGTCTAGACCATAGCAGAAAAGTGACCAAAAGCCCATGGCTGTGAAGGTGCAAACTCGGCCAGAATCGGTTCCCATCATTTTTAGTGAAAAGGGCAGCTCAATGTACACTACTGTCAAAAGTTAAGGCCTGCTCATTCCTGCCTTCTTAAGGGACATGCGGCAGCAGTTTGTGAGAAAGTTCAATATTGCATTTGCATTTAGTCCTGCCTCAATGGAGTCCGAAGTCATGCCATGATGGGCCCTCATGGATGGAGACTCAGACACTGGCAACATATCTCATTCAAGATGGTTTCAGTATGTCATGCACACCAGGGGTCCAACAATTTGCGGGTGAGGCAATGGCAGTGAATTTACTGTTTACAGGTGGGACTTGACTTTGGGATGATAGTGTGCATTCTATTCATATACTGTATAAACATATGTAAACAAATCTGTAATTAACCAGATCACTGAGTAAAAAGTTGAAATCTTAGGAAAGAGCGTTTTATATACACGAACATCTTGCCCTCCTACAATCTAATACTTTAATTGATTCGAGGTCATGCCATGCACGGCCTAAAGCGCCAGGCCTACAAGGCTCTGCCATTCTGGGTCATAAAAATTGCAAGGCCGAAAGCGGTGGTGAAAGGTTGTCACTCATCCGCAGCATGGGCGTCCGCTCCCAGGGAAATGATGGGCCCTCATGGATGGAGACTCAGACACTGGCAACATATCTCATTCAAGATGGTTTCAGTATGTCATGCACACCAGGGGTCCAACAATTTGCGGGTGAGGCAATGGCAGTGAATTTACTGTTCACAGGTGGGACTTGACTTTGGGATGATAGTGTGCATTCTATTCATATACTGTATAAACACATGTAAACAAATCTGTAATTAACCAGATCACTGAGTGAAAAGTTGAAATCTTTGGAAAGAGCGTTTTATATACACGAACATCTTGCCCTCCTACAATCTAATACTTTAATTGATTGAGGCCTAAAGTTGAGGTGGCTGTCACTCCTAACGCGATGTCTACGATGCTATGCCATGCACGGCCTAAAGCGCCAGGCCTACAAGGCTCTGCCATTCTGGGTCATAAAAATTGCAAGGCCGAAAGCGGTGGTGAAAGGTTGTCACTCATCCGCAGCATGGGCGTCCGCTCCCAGGGACAAGGGGGGGCACTTGCCCCACCCCTGGAAATCGGGCATGGCAATTTACTGGTAGTACTATACAAGAAATTTAATGTACTTCATGTGGAAATCTCTTCTTCCGTAGCACCATTTAGACCAATCGTGCCACGCAATATGAAACATCCAAATGTTTCAAATTGTTTGCTGGGCTGTCTCATTGTCTGACATAAGAGTTGCATAATAGGTCTACAGGTAAGGGCTACTTTGAGGCCCACAATTTCTGTCGTTGTTTTAAACACATTGGTGACGGGCCCCGAGAAATCTCGTAGGGAATAAACCAGCGGACGCCCATGATCCGCAGCCTAAAACGCAAGGCCTACAAGGCTATACTATTCTAGGCCATAAAAGCTTTCAACTGCTTCATACCTTTACGTATACCTTTTCAAATTTCTGCTCATTAGATGGCCAGCGTAGCGGCTGCAAGCCGCTAGTTTCCATTTCATTTATGAAATTGCTTAAGAATTTTGGAGGAACAAATGTCTAGATTTTTTTTAATGCCCTTGTAAGGGTCTTGCATTTCAAATGAGATAAGAGACATGAGGGCTGATTCTTGGACTTGCATGTGAGCAGTCCCTCTTTCTCTGAAAAGATACGAGTCAAGATGAATCAAAGTTATTTCAGAAGCTTAAAATTGAGAAAGGACCACACTTGTCACACAGTCTACTTTATTGACTCAATCGAGACATTTACAAGTAGATACAAGATAAATAATGCAATAAAAGCGAGACATATCAGTGGAAGTCAATCAGATTACTGCTCACTTTTCCCAAGTGCTGCTTTCTTTCCCCCCACAAATTAAACAGGAGTGATTTCATAAAAAAAAGATGGGACAGACAAAATACTGTTAAAATGGGGAAAATCATCGATGCACACCTCATTCTCCTATCAATTCACTACTAAAGCAAAGAACAGGAGAGGATCTGGGCCACATGTGGGGATTCTTAGCACATCAAGGGGAACCACAAGGAAGGAGACCAGGGCCGAGTCAACCTCAGAACCAGTGACTTGCAGTTATTATGCCTCTTTCAAAATGTGGAATGCTTCATTTGACTATGAGAGGGAGAATCACAGATCTTTGATGATTCAATCACAAGCCTTGGCCTCTGACTCGACCCTGAACAAGAGACAGGAAGCAGAGCTGCAAAAGCTGGCCCAATCAAAATTTTCAATGCAGACTATGATCCTCCTCAGGGATGGAAATCAACCATTTTCTATGAACTAAGAGTGGATTAGAGAAGCAAAAGGAAAGAGTGGCAGAGAAGACCTCTTCTACCATAGACAATCCATTATATCACAAGATGAACAATTTCAGAAGTGCTTCAGTGTACATTTATATGTGGGGAAGATAAACACGACAAAAAACACAACCCCCAAATACCATACATACCACCATTCATTCATCCATCCATCCTCCACTGTACAATAATCATAACAGAGGGTCGGCATGAAGAGAAAGACACGATATCTGTTCATGTCACAGGAATCATGACCCTCGACACTGGTTCCGTGCTCCATCCCCCTCATTCGCAGCTCAGGCTAATAAAGCTTCTGTTAGGTACTTTATACATAACAAGGGGGAAACTAAACCTAATATTGTAGATACTTGAAAATACCACCAATTTATCTTTCCCTCCTCATCCTTAATCCTAAGATTCTTTTTTGAAAGCCAGAGACAACACAGACTGATGGGTGAACACCAGCAAATTTCCCCACTGAGCAAAGTAGCACACACTGCACACCTCTGTTGTTTCCTCAATTTATGTGTTTTTAGCTTTAGGCATGCACACAATACGCTCTCTGTTTCTCTCCTGGACGACTTTCAAGGAAGGGTCTGGTAGAAGAACAAGAGAGACAGATTGTGCCGGGAAGAAGAAACTGAATGATGATTCTACAAAAATTAAGGGGACCTGGGGGGAAATAGAAGAGATCAGGAGTTGTCATGTTACTGCCACACTCACCCAATCAAATTTTAAAAAAAATTTTTGGCACTGTGGAAAAGAGATAAATAATCTTTTATATTCTACGTTGGACTTAGATTACATGGAATTGCTTCTGAGAATTGCAGGACTTGACTGAATGGCTTAAAACCCTGAACAGATGCATGGTGAATTTGGTCATCATTCCCAATCAACCTGGAAGGAGATGACAACAAAAAAAAGAACTAGCAGGCACACTGGATGGAAATCTGGGAGGGATGATCAACAGTCTAAAGTCTTGTGTGAAACGCACTCACATCTGAGACAGATCCAAGACCCTATGGCATTATGAGTGAGATCCGAATGGGACTCCTCGAGACCCGAGGTGCTAGTGCTTGCCTTGAAAGGGACAAAAACAAAGGAGAGAACGAAAGACTATCACAAGGAACTGGAGAAAACTCCCGACAACTCGGGGCAAGCCCATGTTCGTGTTGACGACATTCATACATAGCTTCATCACGATACTGCATATTCCCACTCCAGCTTCCTGGAAGCACGGTAACGTCCCCAACGGCAAAAATGTGACTAGATCATAACAATGCTTCAAAGTTACACTTCTCCCTTTCCTGCAACCAGCATTTCTCCTATTCTGTTCTGCCAACTTCCAAGGCACTTGCACATCTCGCTTAATGCCATCCACCTCATGGGACATGATCATTCGATATGGTGAAACCATCATTTTGGCTGGTATTCTTCAATTCGGAATTCTGCAAGATAAATAGGCCTTAAGGCTGGAAGTTCACACAAGAGATCAAGAGGAGTTCAACCGGGTCTCGAGCGACTTCACAGGAAACTAGGGACACTTGAGCAATCGAGAATTGTGACACGAGAGACCCCAGAGACGCTTTGATAAAAGGAAGATCACTTTAACCAGATCATTGTGAGGTTTATCGCACCAATAAGGCTCCAATATCGCGAGATAGGCATTAGCTCACTGGAAACAAATTTTGACTTCATATTTTCCTTTTGTCACTATTGTAAGAGCAAATAAATACAATTTTTCTTCCAACTTCACATCAGGTACCGCTCCATCACAAAGATCAAAGACAGCTTACGAAAAACTATTGAATACGTCTTTGGAATCGCTAGGTTACTTTGTTTAGTTTTTGGCTCACAATGTTGTTGCAGGAACAAGGAGAGCTCCATTCGCACATGAAGCACCTTCAAATGGGTAATGATAAATTGGCCGGCAACGGGGCAATGCAATCCCCCTTTTGTACGAACATTTGAACACATCAAAAAGGCTTTCTTTCTCTTATTACTGAGAAACAGGGTGAAGGAGGGAGCAAAATGAAGCTGGAAACATGGTGCTTGAGCGGGTCTCATGCATGAACAGGACCCTTTCTTAAAAATCGCCGCCATCACAAGTGCAAATGCATACCATCCAATTGGTTTTCTTTTTAGTTTGCTCCCTTCTGGCTTGACAGACTTACAAAAAAAAAAAAAAAACCATCCACACGAGACATGAGAGAGGCTGACCTATGAAAGCCCTACTTGAGCTTGTGAAAAACCAAAAGCTGCTGCCAATACTGAACCTGCTACCGGGCCAGATACTGGTTAGTTTCATACACATCACGTAAGAGATCTTCAACAACGTCCTCTGGTGCTGCTTCTTTCTTTTTATGTATTTTTTTTTTACATTTTCTGTCATTTTAAACTTTTTTTGTGAAGTGCACCATCAGGACGGTGTCAAAACACACAGAGTGGGGAATGGAAACAAGAACCAAGGCAATTATGGGAGAAGGACAACATGATATCACAATGGACTGTCGAGGAAGAGAATGACAAGTGGTTTTCTGTCTGATTGTTGGCATGTCAACAGACAATTCTCACATGTGCACAAACCCAGGCTATGGGTTTCCGATGAAGGTTTGAGCAGTGGTGGATTCTCTACCCTCTACAGATTGAAAAATGCAGGCCATTTTCCATGGAACACTTGAGAGAAGAGATAGAAGAGTTGGCACTGTTTCCTTTGTGGGAAATGCTACATCTATCTCGCTCAGTTAAATGACTAGTGCAAAGAGAGGTGACCAACTGTGGCAAGAGGCAAGGAACCACTGCCCCTCTTGCAACAACCTTTCCATTCGATTTTTTTCCCTTCATCTCCATATGAACCACTTCTGCAAGAGGAAGGCAGTGGGACCTGAGAGGAATTTCTTTCATGCACAATCATCACCAGAGCCAATCACTGAATCACATTCCCAGGCTTTGTGGCCAAGACACAAAAAACCAATTTCCCTTGGATTGAGATTGCATTATGAGGCATCACAGACAAACACGGAAGATCCCAGCTGGTTCATCTCATTCAGAAGTGAGGAATTATGCTGTGACCGGGATGTCCAGAGACCAACAGAGATAAATGGAGGAAGGCACAAAGGTTTGACTCAAAAGAGGCTCCCGCTATCACAAACACCACCCGTGGATACACAACCTCAGATGACTGCCTGTCCTGGAATAAAGAAAAACTCTGACCATCCTTTAACTTCTTAATCCGGAGTATGGAATGTCTTGTGAGACCCACAAAGTTTGTCCATTCACTATGGCTAGAAAAAGAGATGTAAATCAAACAAATAAAGATGTGATTCCTGGATCATGTTGCATATGGCAGATTTTACTGGCATCGATTGCCATCCCTGGTCAGAAGTCAGACACCTGTCAAATCCTACTGGTATGTTTCTTCTATGTGGAAGACGTGGAGCTATCGACAAGAGACAGAGAAGCAGGTACTAAGCAACCACCACGCACAAAAGCATACAGGTTGGAAGTGATATGATCCTGTATCTGACTGGTCTTTCTCCTCCAGATCCAGAGGACACACACTATCGCACAGTGCAGACAATGGAAAAATATTGCACCATCACATTCAACCACTTTTTTTTTTCTTTTTTTGTAATTTTTTCCAATCTCCTGTAGTGGGGACATTATCACTTGCATCGAGGGGGATGAAGCACGGATGACAACGAATGTGCACCAACCTGCACCATCGACTAAATGCCGCAAAAAATGTGGAAGGATGCAAATTGGTTTCTATACAAATATCACCTCCACCTTAGGGACTGAGGGGAATTAATGCAGAGATGCACACCTCTGCGTGCAGATCTCATTTGGTCATCTTTTTTTTTCATCTTTTCATTTTGTTTTTAGTTTGATGTGGAGTACTTACCTTGCTCCTGTACACATAGGAAGGAACTCCAATCAGGAGCTCAATCAAACTCTATTGCAACGCATAGGCTGACATAGTTCAAGATTTGAACTTCTTTCTCGAGTACATCACTTGATTTTGGGGACAATGGGATTTTTGGCAAGCTCTGCACAGGTGCTCGCAGAGGGAGAGGACTCCCATGTACATCCGTGCGTGCACTCAGTCAAAGTTAAAGCACAAGTTCATTCATTCTCCCATGCACACATAACATACACAAAAATCCTGATATGATTTGTTTCAGAAAGGTCCATTTCTAACTATTGAAAAATAATATAAAACACTGTGACCAGGGGAAGCAAATGATCATTCCTGAAAGCATACTGTTACTCATCTGAGCTCGAAAAGTACAAGAAAAAAGCAAACAGGAGCAAATTAGGAGTAGAGGGATTGGGGAGAGAAGTCTCTTAAACTTGTTAGGAACATGCACACAGTCATTTTTGTGCAGGATAGCCAAGCTGCACTTCAACTTGGTTGAGGGATATTGTATTCCAATAAAGCTGAGCTTGGGATTAGGTGAGGATCTGCTAACATGGGGACACTGCAGCACCAAAAAGGCATCACACGCGACGATGGCTCCAGCCACCCATCGCCTTTTTTTTGCATTTTCATCAGAGAATTTCCAGAGTTTGAATCACTTTCCCACAAGGTCAACTGGGTTCATCATACACTCCCATCAGCACTCATGCCTCAGGCAAGAAGGCGAGACCGGCATAATGCCGGATTGTCGTGGCAGATGTTGTCTCATATCCATCGAGTCCTCACACTCCTATCACAATTGATTTCCAGGAGACATAGATAAAACTTTGAGGAGACACCATGAATCCCTTTGCTATAGAAACAAGTATCCACAGAAACAGTTACAATGACTGATGATAATATTATTGATAAAGTTTCTAGCCTAAGCCTAAGGGTTCACTGATAATCTCTTTGCTTCTCTCTTCATATTTGATAAACATCCCAGTCTTTAGGTTGCACCCTAAATGGAGCCATCACGAATCGCTGAGATACGGTCATGACTTGGAGAAAAGAGAGGGAGGAAAGGAGTGACACAAGAAAGTAACCATCACCAGAATCTCTCCTCTCTCTCCATCTACAGATCAAAGATCAAAGGGGGCCACTGGTTTCAACATCAAGAGCTACCCTAGTACTTGGCAACGATACAGCTGAGGTCAGGGAGGAAATTGAACAGCTTCAGCGTCAAATCGAACAAGGCTGTGGTACACCCATCACGAATACTTTTTTGCCTACCTGGGAGGATAGGCAAGTCTGTGGGGGGTACTCAATACATGAGCCACTCTAAACCTAGGTCAAAAAATGTACATCATAATGCAGTGAGTAACACAGCTTGGCTTAAATCAGATATCAACTCAGGAATGGATATCGTGCAAACAGACAAGACAGGAGGGAATCCAGGAGGATCACACTTTACATGTTCTCGCCCCCCAAAAGATCACCGGGGAGGAGCGAGTTGATGGGATGAGACGAGGCATGTCCTGGGTCAGAATCATTGAGTCCAGCTGGCCCCCACACAGATGAAGAGCCTGAACTCGGCCAGGAGGACCAAGTATCACCACCAGCCTGAGGAAAGGGCATGGTATTCATAATAGACTGGTTTCAATGACAATCAAGTTAAAATACAGGGCAACACTGCACTTACCTTTGATGGAGCAGGGGTAGGAGTAGGAGCATTGGGAGCAACCCAGGTACTGGGGTTGCTTCCACTGCCACCTTGGTTCTGCCCACTGGGACCAGAAATAAATGCCTGCACTTCAGCCTCTGTTGTGGAGTCAGCCAAGATCGTGGTGTTCCCCAGGACACAGTTGTTCAGAGCATTTTGTGCCTGTCATGACAAGATCAAGGAGTGTTCACGTCATTAGTAGTTGATAGTCTGAGATTACCTTATGGGGAAACTGCAACATCAGGTTAACACACAATCAAACTACTACAGAAACTTTGAAACCAATACAAAGCTACCTATTTGAAAAGACTCCAGTACCATAACCAACTCCTTGTGCAACTTTATCAACAGATTTCAATGTTAATGCATAGTTTTGACCATTCCTCCCTAGTCAGTCAATCACTGTCACAATAACCCAAATCATATTTCAAGCCTTGAACTTGTAGTCATAATGGCAGACTATATATATAAATAGAACAAATGCCAAAAAATTTCAACCAACCAATACCTTTAAAAGTATTAGGTAGCAAGCAGATGCACCAAATCACCTATACAGGATGTTTTGGCCAAAACAGGAATAACATCAATAATGTATCTCAACATGAATGGGCAACTCACTTTGATGGTTTCTTCACGAGAATTGTACTTGACAAAGGCCACACCCAACTGAAGCACCAAGTGAAATGTGGACAGTGGACCATGTTGCATGCATAGAGTCTTCAGGGTTGATCCATCAATCTGGGGTGTCAGATTCTTGAGCACTAGCCATGTTGATGAATTTGGATTGCTCCCTCCACTGGCACTGGAGCCAGGACCACTGCGCACTGGTTGTCCACCTTCACTCCAGCCCCAGTTACGATTCCCAGAGGAGTTGTTTCCACTATTTGAGCCAGAGCCAAGGCCAGCCCAGCTTGAAGTACCAGAACCTGGTGCTCCACTCTTGTTTGCCATTCCAGGAGGAGGTCCACGAGATTTAGGTCCCCATATGTCTGAAGAGCCATCAGACCATGCACCCTTCGATCTGGATATAAGGAAAAAATTTAGGTTAAAAATACTTGCACACCTTATCCAAGGATGTACCCTATATGCAAGCCAAGTAAAGGAGGCAGCAACTCACGAAGCAATAGAGGAAGGGAAACTCCAAGTGGATGAGAGAGTGAGACCAGAAGTGAACACAGAATCCATTGATGTTGTGACAGTTGTGCCAGGAATGGCAGATCCATTTACATTTGTTGAGGCTCCAGAGGCTCCCTTATGGCTGTTGTCCCCTCCAATGTTGCTAAAGATGTCAGAATCTTTGATAGTGGCAATGGATAAAGGTGAGCGACCAACAGAACCAGGAGTAATGGTTGGATCATCTTCAATGTTCTTCACCTGATTACCCTGTTGAAGAGCATAAAACCAATCTCAGTATATGAATAGCACACAACATTCGAAAAATAAATTTTATTCAATATATCCTAATAATGTGCTCAGTGACAAAATAGTAAATGTGAAATCATGTCTTCCTCATTCGAACGAGACACCCATCATGGCATAAAGAACCAAGTTGTCCCAAGCAAGAAAAATGATGATCTCACCTTCCATGGTTTTCCAGGCTCAAATTCAGGGACTAGATCAGATATGTAGTTCTGGGAGCTCGGATTATCTCCAGTTGACCCAGATGACCAATGAGATTCCTGGCCAGTAGAGCTGGAGCTAGCAGAATTGGCAGAGGAGTCAGGCCATCCACCAGAGTCCCTTGAAGTTGGTGGTACAGACCAGGTACTGTGGGGAGTACCCAAGAATCTTCGTTTTCCAGGGAAAGGAATGGAATGGGTCCCGTTACAGTCATATTCATGCAAAATTAAAAAAGCTTCCAAGGATGAGCGATGGTCGAGGAAGGCGATATGAAGAAAAGCATCACCAGTCATCCCAAAAAAAAACCTCCTTGGATCTGCCCATTACCCTTGCATAGCTTTTTTTTTTTAGTTTAAGCTTTCAGAAACATCCCAGTAATGTGATTTCCTACACTTGTATCCAGGAATAACAATGCACCAGTAGAAGCCTGTAGTATGCTCTGCTCAAACATTGATATGTCAGAATATCTAACTAGACTGCATGGGGTATCACCAATACAATAAAATATGATCCAAATATGCAATAAACTAATCTAAGATCTCACCTATCCCCAGCACCAAGCAATGGTGTATTAAGAGGTGAAGTAGTTGGAGCCATATTGGACTTGGACGAGGAGCTCAAGGGACCAGGAGCCCGACTGAACTCATTACCAGCATTAGGACCTGTGACTTGCTCATCCTTGGAGGGATGCTTCCATTGGTTGAAAAGACGGGATGGTGGCGTCTGTTGTGGATCACACAACTGAAAAAAGTAAGAGCATCTAATCTGCTAAACCATTTAAATGTTGAATCAAAAAAGGCCAGCAGAGCAACAACTCACAGGTACAGATGGAACACCTCCACCACCAAGATCCAAATTTGCCAAAGGAGGGAGCAAGGCATTCATTGGATCAGCACCAGTGGTCATTCCAAGTCCTGATGGAGGCTTAAACGCATCTCCTCCGTGACCGGCTGGCCCCTGGTGCTGCTGCTGTTTCATGTACAAGGCCTATCAACATCCATGCAGAAGTCACATGATCCTCCCACTCCCCCTCACCTCCAAGACCCAACATGGAGAGGTCAAAACTCACCTGTTGAACAGCAATCTGATTCTGGAGGTTGGCAATGTTCTGCTTGCATTTGGTCACTTGGACGGAAAGATTGAGAAGTGAGGAGGGAGCACTGCGATTGAACTGTGATTGGGTCTGCAGCAAAGCTTGCTGGCGATTGAGTTCCTGGAGGACTTTGATCTGATGAAGTAACTGGCTCAGCAAATGAAGTGTATTGTTGCTCAATTTCTGACTCAGGATCTGGGGGGACAGGGAAAGTCATGTCAGAAAATGCCCACAAATGTCCATGCTTGAGAGCTTTGCAGGATGGAGTTAGAACTAAGTTTACCCCTGGATGGAGATGTCCAGCTTGAACAGCCAAGTTGATTTGAGAGGCCAAGAGATTGAGTTGCTGGTTGGATGGAGTGTTGGGTGGTCCACGACCAACCTGCTGTTGCTGCTGCTGCTGAAGAAGCCTATGCATGAAAGCAGGGTTCATATTCCCAAGATTTGGAGTTCCACTCTGTGGTGGTGCATTCAACAAACTTCCTCCACTTCCCACTCCAGCACCACCCTATAATCATAACAGGTTCATCTTGAACCAATGGAACAAGGAAAATCAAGAATTTTGGGAGTCAATATCTGGAAGGCAACATACAGGTGGATTGAAAGGAACTTGAGCTGGTCCAGCACCATAACGGTTCCCAGTTGCATCAGCTCCGGTAAAGTGTAGATTAGGTGGTATGCCAGTGTTGAACTGGGGTCCAGCAGGTGCAGGGCCAGATCCTTCATCCATGCGAGGTGCACCTCCCCAATTGGTTGGATCCATGTCTGAATGAAGACCTGCTCCAAGTGCTCCTCTACCATATGTTCGGCTCAGTTCCATCAGTGCATCGTCCATATTGAAGTTGTTGTGGCGCATTGCAGCTTCAATGTCCTCTTTCTGTTTCAATGAAATAAATACAAAAGAAACCTATTAACTTTTGCAAGGATGATACATACCTCTCAACATCTCATTCTTCATGTGGGGGGTAGCAAACTCTTTTGAAATGCATGCAAAAAAAATTGCATGCAGTTTGACAAGGCAGCAGCTTAAAAGAGACAGGCTGATCATGATTCATAAAGAGGTAGGTTTGGGGCATCAGGGTGAGACTACCACTCCTTTATAAACCCACCTTGTATCCCATTTCAGCAAGGATGCGGAATTTGCTTGGATAGAGAGCCTCCTTCGGAATCTGTGTCAGTCCCTGCCAAAAAATAGGAAGAGATGGGGGGAGAAGGGTATGGGAATGGATTTAGTTTTACCAGGAGCCATGATATGGACAAGGGTGGGGGATATTCCAAAGAAAAGGGAAAAGGAGGAAGGAATGAAATAGGACCAATCCATCACTATGTTCAGGTTTGACACAAATGCCTGTCTTTTCTGTACTTAGCATCATTCACTATCAGAAACTAATATAGGAAGAAACAAATTAGGTGTAGACAGGTGCTAAAATATATGAAAAACTAATACATTCAACACACCTCTAGATACAATACAGGATAACAGGTTTTCCAGGAATAAAGGTGTATTCAATTATTCCATACCTTGTGCTTTCTATTGTCAGGCCATGGCCACCCAGGGTCCATGACTGACATTTGGTCCATCCATGCAAAAGATGAGGCAGATTGCCAGGGTTGCTGCGGAGTGTTCTGCAAATTTCATAGGCACATGCAATGCAGGTCAAGCTCAAAGGAACTAAGGAGATACAGGAAGTGAGTCAATAGTGAGGGTGACACAGAAATGAAATGTTACTGATACAGAAGCAATAGTATTAACAACTAAAAGGAAATCAAAAAGACCCTTCACAAGGTCAATAAAACTAATACCTCAACAATATGGATACCATTGCCACCAAAATCAATTGTGCCTATTCTATAGGTGCACAATAGAAATTCATTCTAAGTTTCTCAATTGCACACTGAATCACTATTACTGAAGCTGACTTTCAGTTAACAATTTTACCAAGACTAATCCATTAAATGTAGTAAGTTTCAGGAAATCTGCAGATAAGAACAAGAGAATGAGTCATTTCAGAGGTACTTGCTGTTATGCAACTCCTAGCTCCAATATTTTTTTAGACAAAACAAACTTGAAAATAGCATTCACTTCCCAGAACTTGCACTGAGCAACTTAACCCTTTATTGCAAAATATTTTAAAAGCCTTGAAGAGAAACATTCACATTTCATATGCATTATCTTAAAGACACCAAAAGAATATATTTTCACAAAAAAAGGTAAATTTGCAAAAAGAAACTACAATCAGTAGAATTTGTATGATGTAAGACAAAGATGTGTGTAAAAGATGCAGAATAAAATAAATTAAAATTTATGACAAGATTTAATGTTTCAACATTAAGAAATTGCAACAAAATAAGGCCAAAGCACTTGACTCAGGTAAGGTACTGACTTAATATTTTCAAGATGTTCCAGGTTGGTATGAAGCAAAAATGTAAAAATATTTTGTTTTTCCATTTGGGAACATCATAAATATTTCAAGAATTCCCTATTCACCACACAGTGAGTCTTAAGCAATGTCTTATAAAAATTAATCCAGTATTTTCTCAATCATGAACATTGTGTTGTGAAGGGTCAAGTTAATATTAAAAAAGACTGCTAGGTACACATCCCTGAAAATCTAGAAGTAGTATCCAAGTTACAAATGATCTTTATGGATTCCTCTCTGCCACCTTTCCAAAAGGAAAATGCAACACCTTCACCAAATAAAAGTAAAAGGGATGGAAGTATCAACAGCATGCACATGAAAAATTTGTATGCATGCTCTCATGCAGTTCAATTAATATTCTAAAAAAGCAAGTCCCCACAGAAGAACAATGCTCAGAATCTAATAACATGCACAAGACATTTTCATCCTGGATAAGCTACTTTAAAAAACCTCTGAGAAGGGAAAAAAGACAAATCTGCATATTGGTGTAGATCCAAAACAGTAACCATTCATGCCTTAACAGTTTTGCTTCTCCAAAAGTTATGTTATCCCCATATCACTCAACAAAGTCATGTGGTTCTTGAGGCAATCACCAGCACTAAATCATAGTTTATAAAAAAAATTCTACCATATTGCCTTGAAAAATGGGCTAAATTAAAATTTCATTGAAAAAGTGATGGTTGATTGGAGTGAAAAAAAACTTTTGCTCAACTTACTAAACTAAGTGGGCCAAAAATCCCTTTACACTCTATTAACATTTAGTAAACATAACTTAATAAAATTTACTAAACCAAAAAATAATAGTTCAGTGGATCTGTGTATCATATGTTCTGCACAACTGCTATGACTTATGGCACATATTTTGGGATAACCTCATCAACTGTGCATAAAATTAAATGCACTGTAGAAGGACTTTTGGCCCACCCTGTACTAACTTAAAACAAGAAATTCAAATGTTAACTCAAATTCCAAGGCATCTAAAATACAGTGTGTCCCAATATGATTGGTGCATTAAAAAAAAAAACATTTCTTGTAAAGTAATTCAAGTTTTCTTTGAATGCTGCAGTCACTTGACACCACCCCATTTGACTTCTTTTGGTGGGGATGTCAAAGAAAATTGTCTTCAGAACCAAAGTGTTAGATGTCATTGAACTCAAGTGCTGAATCTGTGATGCACTCGCCACAGTTACTGCCAACATGTTCAAGAATACCCAATAAGAAGAATAAGAAGAATACTCAATTATGAAATTGAGTATCAGCATTGAATATCAGCACAACATTTTATGTGCAACTAATGGTGCCGATGTCAAAGTTTACCAAGAAGTAATTATGAATTTTAAAAATAAAAATTCAAGACTGTGCTTCATACATTGGTGAAAAAATTTATTTTCTATCTGTAATACTTCATGAGAAAAACTTTTTTTGAAACACCCACGATTTTGGGGCACCATGCATTTACTAATGAACACACAATATCACCCATCATCATTTATGATGCTTAGCTTGCCATTATAAGGGTTGCATTCAAGCACTAACTTCCTTTGGGATCAAGAGACAACAGTCTCAATGACATGTAAATGAAATTTCATTTGGTGCTGTTAAACTTGTACTTTCTACATTAAAAGGTAGCCTTGAAACTGCTTAATACACTAGCTACCAGGGATAACAAGAATCCTGGCTGGATGTGGAGAATACTCAATATCAGAATGATGCTATTACATGAAGTACATTCTATGAAGAGTACTCTAGACACCAATATTTTGCACAAGTTTACATTTCTATTCAAACTTGACAGGCCTTGTCATTTACATAGTTTTCATAATACAATTTCACACTTGAATGCCCCAATGTGTGAAATGACTACATCCCACCCTCCCAAAGAAAAGCGGCTGATGCAACCCCTACATTGGCTTACATACAATGAAAACAGAAATGGACACCACCCCAAAATGGAAGCTTCACACTACTCATGCCAGGTTCAGGAGAAGCAACTACAAACAATTAATTAGTCTATCCCCAGTGACAAGGCCATTCTAGCTCCTCGTGCAAAATTTCCCAGACAGATTTCCTCCTGTTCCTAGCACTATGAAATACGGTAGTCATTCCAAAATCCTAGACCCAAAGCCCAGGGCTCCAATACCTACATACAGGGTGGGCCACTTAAAAGTAGCCCGTCTCTGGTCCGAGCATGGCGGAGGTGGTCGCCCCTTGCACACTGTTCTTACTGTCGCAGTATTATAGGAGGTGGGCTACTTTTAAGTGGCCCACCCTGTATAACTCAAACCAAAAGACTCTAGTCAAACATTAACATTTCAAGAATTAAAAACCAACGCCATTTAAAAGCCCGATTCAAATTAGACTTGGCCTTGTCAAATGCTGACACTTTTTAGGCCAAAAACCCACATTTACTGCTTGAGAGATGGGATTCTCACCGGCTTGTTGACAGGTCCAGGCCAAGGACTTCCATCCATGAGGTCATTATCACCTGCCCAATGAGATCCATGACCTTTGGCTTTTACCCAGCCCATTGGACCTCCAACTGGAGAAGTAGGGTCTCCTCCATGACCAGCCCACCCACTTGGACCGCCATCCGAGTGCCCAGAATCATCCCAGCCACGATATCTATCAACAAAATTCAGATCAGAAAGTGCAAATACAAATAACAGGTTACCAAACTGCAGGTTAATCATCCTTGTAAGGGTCATTGACTTATCAGTTTCAATAAAAAATTCATTGTACTCACCCAGATGATCTCTGCATCATGCCACTGGGACCTGGAGGTGGCATTCTACTCTGGGGACCTCCCATCCCACGGCCCATCTGACCAGGTGGCATATCCTTGCTCCATCTATTTATTTTCCCTGCAGATATTCAGAAAAAAGTACAGTATTTCAGAAACATTGTGAAAATTTTCAGGCACATTGAAACCAGCCCTGAAGTTTAGGGGCTTCAGGTAAGTTCTCATGACCTGTCTTTAAAATGTCTCAGAAATCAAGAAAGCATAATCAAATCATCAGAAGATATATACTAAACAAAAACACACAATGGCATTGAACATAGAAGTAAAAGAAAATTTTAATGAAATGGTGAAAACAAAATTTAAACTCAATTTGGGAAACTTAATTTTGGGAATCAGTTCAAATTTCACAGCAAAGTTATGACACTGGAAATTTGTTAACCTGTAAATGATTCACAACTTTTAACTGCCTTTTATCCAAATCATCATCCTTCCATTTTCAGAAAAATATCAGAAGCATCACTAATGCTGGATGTTGTCTTGATGCATTCACCTTACTACAGCAAGTAGCCACATATGACTGGCATGACCACCTTTCACCTCCTATCTTTGCGCCATTCCAGCCTTGCTCTCAGGTCATTTACACATCTTTCTGCATCCCCCACCCTCAGGAGAGAGGAGCTAAGAGATATTACCACAAGCAGGGGTTGGGGGGGGGGGGGGTTCAGACTCCTTGAAACCCCCCCTTTGTTGCACCACTAGAACCATTCCTTTGTCTCAAACCACCTTAAAAAGGAGAAAATGCTAAGTAAAAAACATGAAACAAACCTTGAGGCTGTGTTCCAGCACTCCAGACTCCAGTCCCATCATCATAGCTACCTCCCATGCCCCTGCGGTTGGTTGGGGGAGAAGGCTCCTCCCATCCTACAGGTTTCACATCCTTCACTCCTTGATTACCCCAGTTGTTCACAGGGCCACCTGGCTTGGGAGGCATGGCCCATCCACTTCCTCCACTTCCTGAATCTCCTAGCAATTCAACATATTCCAGATTACCATAAATAACCAATATTATTTATTTTTCCTCATGTACACTCCAAGACTCCAATCAATTCATCCAATCTAAATAAACATGAAACAAGAATTACCTCCACCTCCACCTCCACCTCCACCCCCGCCCCACATATTGGTGCTAGGGCCTCCAGTAGCACCCCACTGACTGGCACCATCATGCCACATACTCCCTCCATCAACATCGTTGTCATCTTCTCCCCACTGGCCACCAAATCTATTTGTACTAGGAGTCCACTGAGCCTTTGATGGCTGAGGTTCTGCCCTTGGAACTCCACCATTGCGCAGATTAGCATGCCACAACTCTGTGCCTGGTGATTAAAAAAGAAAACTTCAGGATTGCTTTCAATTCTTGCACAATAGATTCAATGTCCTGAAACATGATTTTAATGCTTAATGGTCAGAGGGACATTTTATGATGCACTGACCAGTGTTAGGAGCTGGCTTGTTCGGGTTCTCATCTTTGGGACTATGAGGAGGTGAAGGAACATCCCATGCAGTATCCTGGTTAACATTCTGCTGCAAGAACAATTCAAAAGGTTCATTATATTTATGATCTTCCAGTGCCAGTGCTCCAGAGTGTATCTGCTGATGACTGTATAGGAGGAATTGATGCCCAAGTGACTCACCCCTCCCCAACCATCATTGCTATGAAGGGCCTCTCGGATCTTCTCCAGTTCCCTCTTTTGGGCAGCTGCATCAGCAGAGCTCTGGCTGTTATTAGAAGGGGGCAAGCCTTTCCCAGCTGCCTGAGCCCATGAGGTTGCACCAGATCCATGCTGACCAGTACTTCCTCCACTACCAGACCCTGTTGCTGCTGCCACAGCTGCCTTGCCTGCATGGAAATGGATGCTAGTAACACCACTACTCCAATGACAGAAATGCTGCATATAGTCATGGTGCTTACCAGGGAAGTCATTTTGATTGAATTCTCCTTGTGCACCAGGCACCTGCCCATTAGGAGTGGGTCTCGGAGGTGTGCCCCAACCTGAGCCAGCAGACACTGCAGAAGAACCACCACTAGATGCCTGACCCCAACCAGCATTAGCTGCAGATGGTGGTGGTGGGGCACCCCAGGCTGCTGTCCCATTGGAATTTGTTTCTGAAGTTCCACCACGTAGACGCAAGACAGGAGGCTGGCCATTGAGGGGCTTGTGGGCAAGTTGCTGGTTGTCATGAATCATTTCCAATACTCCATAGGATTCAGAAGCAAGAGACCTGCCACCTGAGATCTGGAAACAAAATTCCTCCTACATTACTATCTCCATTAGTCAGCAGTGCATCACAATTCAAGTCCTGAAATCCCTATATTTTGGTGTACATTATCCTTTCCAGCTGAGTGGACAAGTGGTAATGGTGAATCACTCACCTCCTGGTGAGCACCATGACAGAAAGAGTATGGCTCATGAGGCTGGATCTTGTCCTGTTGCTGGCTAGCATTTGCCACTTGGTTTCGTGTCATTGATTCCAAAATGGAAGCACTCAGTCTGCCTCCTACACTGGGACACCTTTCAGATCCCTGAAAAGATCAAGCATCTCAATCTCTAATTTCAAGAAATAAATATTGCTGCAAATGGGAGAATGAAAAACTTTTTTGGAACTCACCTGTGTTTGGGCACATGGGAGGCTGGAGTCTCCGGTACTGGTAACATGGAGCTGTGGAGAAAAGGAGGACGGTGGGCGGGTAGGGGAATGGCTCCCCGCAACTGCTGAGACTCCTTTCTTGGAGGCAGATATCACAGACAACTGAGGAGAAACCTGGAAACAAGATATGAAAGAAGGGCTACCTCCCTCCCCTTCCCCCATGCCCTGTCCAGGGAGAGGATCCAATACGCTGCCATCATGAGAAGCCTTCAGACCTACAATGTGAAAGAAAGCAAAAGAGACTATCTTTATGTCTTATCTCATGATGAAACAACTGACAATCATTAGACATTCAAGTAAACAGGCTCACTGTTGTCAAAAAAAGTAAAGTCCTGAGAATCTTCAGCCTTCAGGCTCCCCAGAGGCTTTTTGTAGTCGGTGGCAGAACCACCTGAGAGGAGACTTGCATCATTGTCAATGCGTCTGGAATGAGCTGTAGCTGCCGAGTTGCTGCTCACTTCATTCAACACTGGCTTCGATGACTCACAGTTCTTGTCATCTCTTTGTTCTTTGGGATTAGTTCTCTGCCATGAGGTCTGCTAGAGTAAAAATTCAAAGTTATAATTTGCTGAGAAGAGTGAATGGTATGATACTCTCTAACTACTCACCTCAGTGGTTGAGCCACTGATAGAAGGTCTGAATGTATCACAATCCTGTTGCTCTAAGTCAGTATCCATGTCCTGCCAGAGGAAAAAAAAAAAAAGAAATCCAAATTAAACCAAATGTTTTCATTACATTTGTGCATGCTGCAAGAAAGCAGCTCCAAAAATGTTTGATCCACCTGCAAATGTAGTGGTTCCAAGTCATGCAAAAAGCTGAAATTTTATGTTGACTGTATCCCTGACGTAACTTGCCTTTTCCTCACTAATGTTAATTTGCAATGCCCTGTTAGTGACTGCCAAGAATAAGGTTGCACTATATTAACTACTGAACAAGTCTGAGTAAATAAGTCCATAAAGAGAGACTAATAATGGCACAGAACATTTCATTCTCAGCATGCTTTCCAAGTCTAGATCCAAAATTGACACGGAAATTTGCAAGTCACATCAGGCTCTACTCCATTGGATGAAAAATCAATAGGCCTAGGAGCTATAAGCCTGCATGGGCTTAACGTTAAGCCCTTAAAAAAAATGACCTGCCCTGAAGGTCTTGCAAACGTCAACTGAATGACTAGGTATGTGGAACATTGGGTCTCTTAATCGCACCTGGGACTTACGTAGCACATTCTCCGACTTCTATTATAGCTTCAAGTATATGCCTTTATAGGTCTACGCTGCGTGGTGCTAATCCTTTGTGTTAGTAATAACATATGTAGATTACAAGTAACACCCGTAACATTTGGCCGGCGCGTTTCTTAGGTCTTCACTTTTGGTCGTCCGTGACTACGTCCCAAACAAAGAAATGGCCCATGCCAGAGCAAGGAACGAATCGAAGCGTTCACAATAACCAATTATAAGAGACCTGAGCTTATTTCCTAAACTAGATCGGTCGAGGCCTGGCTAGACAATACTTCACGGTTTATGGGCCAGTGACATGCAACGTACACCTAAATTGATACAAGTTCGCTTTTTGACGCGCATTTATGGGGTCTAAGGGATAGGCGTCTGACAGATGCAGCTGCACCAGGCTATCTTGGGTGCAGCTATCTTGGGAATCATGATATCTAATAACCTGCATTCCATAAATACTCTTCCATAACAGGCTTTAGTCTAAACAGTTAAAGCTAACATCATTCGTGATGTGTCTGCGACACCTAAGTCAACGCCGGTGCAGAACGAAATCGGAGTTGAAATTCGATTGGTTGCGGATTAATTTTTTTCCAGTCGACTTCCATTCATGCAAAGCAAAGTCCAAGTCCCACATGGGTCACCGTAAAACGTGTCGAACTCGAGAACAGGCATGCCGACACCTAGGTTCTATATTCACGCTAAAACTAGGAGTTATTAGATCCGTTACCCTTAACGTCTGAATTTCCCACCCTGCTCCTGGTCTGTTCCTTGACTGATACGAAGGCCAAAACTCGAAGCTCGAGAACGGTACAAATTCACCACCATCCAGGTTGACTTTTCGCAGCTCTATAAAGGTGACCTCCGCGGAAGCGAAGCAGATGCGATTCAGTTACGCTGAACAGAGCATAGGCCTGGGCATGGGCTGGGGTGAGGCGCGACCAGAAACAGGAGAAATAGAGCTATTTATTCCACGGAGAAATAACCCACCTCATGAGGAGATGAACCCGTGAGCAACGAGAGGAATAAGGCTCATCCAAACTAGTCGACTAGGACGATTATTGTGAAGGATCTAGGCATAATATCACCAGGTAATTCGACACAGGAATAAAGTGGGAGACAAACGTGAAGCAGGCCGTCTCGTTCACTGCGTATCCTAGCCTTCCTAGGCCTGGTGCCTGGGCTGCGGGAATAGCAAGAAGCAATAGGCTGGTGCGGCGGCGTTCCCCTGCGCCATAGCTCAGCGCGCAAGCTGCAACATAGCCTCTCTCTCGGACATCCTGGAACCCCCTGTTTGGAACCTCGCCAAAGACACCCCGAGCCTCCATAGAGGCTTCCTCGGACCCCAACATCCACGCAGACACCGACGCATGCTTTCCACTAGCGCAGGTGGTTAATGCAGTATGGTTCCTAAAGCCACTCCCAAAAATGAAGACGGCAAGCACACACGCAGCGGATGATCTCAAAGTGGCCATGCGGGCGTAAAATATATTCAAGACTCAGTGCCGAAAAGGCCTCTACTAATCCCCGTTCGCCCTTTCCTCTGCTGTCTTCCATCGACTCTGATTCCCAGCCCCGCGGCACAGATGCCAAAAATCCCTTGACGACAAAACTCGAGCCCACGGAAAACATGAGGGAAAAAACCTCCATGCTCTGAATTCTCTCTCCTTCCAAAATGCAACTAAGAAACAGCAAATATTCCTAACTCCCATGCAATGAGCGTTACGGTAAGCCCGCAGAGATATAAAAAAATATTCGCGAAAGGGCAACCTTGACAGACGATAAGTCAAGGAATGCGCATACGAAGGAATACGCTTATCCGGAATCATATAAAAGCCCTTTGGAGGAAGATTAAACAACCTGGCCTCTCCGTCATATCTCGCCTGGATTTTTTCCTCTCGAACTTCTCTTCAAGAGACAGCAGCCGAGAAGTGAACTGGCAGGTGAGACTCAGGAATTCGACGAGGATGGATGAGGAGTGGAGTGGAAGCAAAGAAAAAAAACTTGGAAGGGGCAGACTAAATGGATTCGGCCGAAACGCCCCGCAGCAAAAACCGAGAGTCCAGACCTCTGGTCGAGACGGATATATCCTCAGGCATTGCAGTCATTTTTTTTTTTCACGCTCGCACATGAAGAAGCCTTCGTATCCCTACAATCGCTTATGAGAAAAACGAGACACTATGCGACGCGCCAGCAGCATGTGACTTTTCATGTGACATGCTATTATGAGCCAAGTTCACACTCGCGGTATCGCATTTTTTACTTCTTATTTTTCTCTTGGGCGATACAGGTAAAACCATTAGGGGTTATACGTTTGAAAACGTATTGATTCGTATTACCTTCAACTTTTACCCATGCCAATATGGGCAAGCAGAAGATACGATCCTTTGAATTAATATTAATAGTGATGCGAATTACAAGTGAAAGCAGTGTAGTCGCGTTGAATCATTCGTGGAATCTGACGGGGGAAACGTAACTAAGACTAAATGTCGAGGAGTTGGTTTGGTCTTTGGTTTGGCCTTTAAACCTCTGGGGGGAAACTGGCGAGACGAGTCCTGTTGTCCGTGCGATGAAGAGAGCTGGAATGACCCAGATACCAGGGTGGGTCAACGACACCATCTGTCATTACGATTCATCAAATCATTATTAAATCATCATCACCACCACCATCCGCTGAGGACTCGGGTACAGTACTAGAGCGTACATTGATGCAGCATTTATTACGTATGTGCTACACGAGCGACAATCTACATCCATGCTGAAGTAGTATAAGACGCTCGCAAACAATGATACCTGCTACACAGATTGAAAATCCGGTCAAGTAGGAACTGCAACTGTCAATTCTCGGTGGGGACAGAGTGAGGGCGGCATGCCTAAGGTCCTAATGATGAAATCCCTTTTAGTCAACGATCCTTTAAAAATCTATTAACTCCTTATGAAGAAAAAGAGCTTAAATTTGAAGGCTTTTCTATGCACAACAAACCAAACAAACGAACCTTGAGGGGGGGGAAAAGTTCACTTTAAGTTTTAAGTAAGGTGTTCCTACGAATCAGTTCTTTTTTCCCTTGTAGTACCAATATTTTTTTTCCAAAGATGAGCGGATGCATAGGCTCACTTTTCTTAAAGATAGTATTTTGCCAAAACTGCTTGCTATTTACACCCCGCATAAGGGAACGATGGGGAAACACACAATGGTGACGTCGCAAGGTCGATCTTGAGAAGAAATGAGGACATCGCGATTCCAGGCACCTGCTTGTACTCACACACCGGTCTCTCCCGTTGCGAGGCGTGGCAAGGCTCTCGAGACCCCAAACTACTGTCGTCGGTAAAATCGAGAACTCGATGACCCGCCGGAATGTAAACGGCGCAGCGAGGCCAGCTTCGACATCAAACTTCCCTACAGTATCTCCCTTCCTCGTTTTCCCCCTGGACTTCTCCCACCACGAATCGATCGATTCCTCGTCGCATGCCGAGTGAGAACTAAGACCCCAGAATGAAAGGGGGGTGCGAGAGACCCGTGCCCGAGGGCATACTGCGTTCTACATCGCTTACTCCCTCTCACGAGAAAGAGATCACAACACAGGCCGAGTCGGCAAGCGAACGATGACCGCCTTCGTTCAGCACTTCCTTTTCGATCTTATTTCATGTGTCACGGATGGTAAGGGGCACACAGGATCCACGTGAACGCGTGTCCGTGGAAAACCATTTATGTCTAATCTTAGCGAGGACGTGTGATGGGTGAGGTCTGGCCTTTTCGTCGATGAGCATGGGCCGAGCACTTCGAGATGGAAGAAAATGTGATGAAGCAAAAGATAATTTATAAACGACGCAGGACAGTACTGTATTGTACCCACTAGAAAAAAAAGGGAATAACAAGACCGGGGGGGGGGGGGAAAGGGCGGAGGAAAAGATAAACCCTATCAAGGGCCATCTCGTTTCCAGCCCATTTGTTGGGATACCTCATCCATTTTCCACGTGCGTCAGGAACTACTCGCCTTGCATTTACCACCCTCTCTCCTCTCTGGCTGTTGTTTCTCCAATGAGCTGCAATGCATTTACTAAAGAGCCTCTCGAAATCCTCTTTATCGATCTTCCAGTTCCTCAGTCCTCACTCAGCCTAAACCTCCACTGCATTTCTCCTCCTTCGATGTCGCCCCTCCCCTCAAGATGAGCAACAGGTTCAAGGAACTGTACATTCAATATTAATCCAACCCTTTTGCGTGCGTCTTGGAGGACGCTGAAAGGCAGATGAAAGAAGGGAGAAGCCACCAAGGAGATCGATCGGGGACGGGAGGGAAGGAGGTCAGGAATCTCCAAACTGAAGCAACAAAACTTTAAAAGGCATCCTGCAGTCTCCATATATGGAATGGTGATCCACAGATAAATATTTTTTCGATCTCTGTTGCATTAGGAAGTGATGGGAGAAAATGCTAGCTTTTCATAGCCCCAGCCCTCCCCTCCGGATCCCGTGAAGAATCCCCGCAGAAAGGTCATTTGGAGGCAATGCTAACCATTATACTACCACACAATATGGGTTGTAACATCAAGAGTTCTACGGTATGATGTTTTGCATATAAGAGCAGAGGATAAGTTCAAAAATAATTACATGCGTTGTGGTGGTTGGAAGAACGTCAGCTGATATAGTTTCGACAAGACAGAGCACCACTGCATTTTACTCGAATGGCCAGCTAACAATTGGGCATTATACGTATCACTAAATGGGTCGCGGAGATCCTGTTCCATGGCCTGCGCCGTCTCCCGACGTCAACTCCACTAGAATTTGGACCACGTTGAAAACGAGACGTGCAAAATCCCAACCCAGTAGCCTAGAAGACCTTTGGAACAAGCGGGTCGCCTAGTGTCTGAGAATCCATGATATAGCTTCGAGCAGTTACAAACACAACCACCATCACACCCGAAAATGTTTGTGTAACTAAGTGAACTTATTTTCTACTCGCAAAAATCAGCTCGCAAAAAAAGCTCCGGAATATATGCCAACGAACACACCGCAAGACCGCTGGTGTACCACCTAGCATTTGTACCAAAATTTTCAGATTTGTTTAGCTACTTAGGGAAACAAGCAACGTTTCCAAGGAATTGCGTCATGTCCAACATTCCCTCCCCTCATCCAGTGGATGGACTGATCCATCGATCAACTGTGGGAATAGGGCCCACGTGAAGGGAAAGCGTGTGACAGGGACAAGGGCTGTTGTCAGCAGAGAAGAGACAATCGTGGATAAGGCTATTGATGACAGAATCTCCTCTTCTTGGTACAATACAACCGTCTACGATCTTCCCTCGTGCATTCAATGCAGACTCTTGCCATTGTTTCCAATGGAAAAAAAAGTTTCACCATGGGGAACTAACATTCCAGGTTCGCAAGAGCTAAATAAGTCCGTCTCTCTAGGATATTGGCAATGCTTGGCCGCTGCCCTGTTGCAAATATTGAGCACGACAGGAGAAAGTTTCCACGAGATTCCATTTCTGCTGTTATCAGAAGTGGCACTCCTCAATGTATCACACCCACATGACAGAGATAATTCCCCCCCCCCCCCGACTCCATGATTCCTATCGAGATGCATGAGGTGAAAGATGGGGACAACTGAATGACTGCAGGCAGATTATTGGTTTGTCCTTGGTGGCATGAGAGCAACAAAAAAAGTAAATAAATAGAACGAAAAAGAGAACCTGACACCGACTGACGAGAGACAGCTCAAATTCAACCGAGGGAAAATAGACATTGATGCAAAGAAGACGAATGGATGGGGAAGTTACGTATCGATAGGCTGGATATAATCAGCCTTGGAGTGACTGACGAGAGACTCAGGGAGGCGTACTGCCAAGGACTGGGAGAAACGTCACAAGCAAAATATCATCTTTCCCCCCCCCCCCCCCCCCACCCATCCACAGGCACGTGCCTTCTCCATTTGTAGTCACCCATGATCGCTTCCACCTTCGCTATTCCACGTTCAGATTCACACCTGCTACTTCGCTGTCTGTTTCATCTGTCTACAACAGTCACGTGGACCCATAACAGACAAAACGACACGTCACGATGCGTCGGCAATCCAGACAAATATTCCCCTCCCTTTACACGTATTCCAGATAAGGTGCGGAATATCATGAGAACGGAATTTATTTATTTTTTTTTTACACAAGCATATGGGCGAAGATATTCAAAGTGTACGATGTATGTTTGTCTCAGAAGATAGTCTTTCCCCTATTGTCTCTAGTGTCAGCTGCAAACCATCTATACCTATAGTGATTTTTCACTGAACACCTATGGCTTTGGCGGTGGCAGGAAAATGGTGCCTGCCGGGGGAGTACGTTTTCACTTTCCCCATGGATTTCA